AACAAATAGAAAGCACGATGTTCAAGGCCATACAATTTGTTTATTGTACATTATACAGCCTACAATGCACTGTAGGCCTACTACAGTATACAATACTACAGTAAAAGGGACTAAAATCAAAGGAGTCAACATGTCATCAATGTGCTTCTTCTTGTCTTTGGGCTGGGTCAGGCCAGAGCACTTCGTCGACATCACAAGCAATATTTTCTCTCCTGAGGCAACGGGGGAAGAAGCCTCTTGTGTGCCGTATCCAGCCCTGACATGATTCCTCACCTATATCACCACAGGCTAATTCCATGGCTTGCAGCAGATTTACTCTGGTGTAGGGTTGTCTATCATACACTTTCCATCTCCATGAGGAGAAAAACTCCTCAATCGCATTCAGGAAAGGCGAGTATGGAGGGAGGTACAAGGTCATAAACTGACCATTGATGTTAAACCATTCCCTTACCTGAGCAGCTCGGTGGAAACTGACGTTGTCCAGCACTATCACATTGGTGGGAATGGGATTCTCATTTAGCTCTTGACCCTGCTGCTCAAATAAAATATCTCTTCGATTGGCCAGAAATCTTAGAAGATGCTGGGTGTTAGATGGCCCGAGTGTAACATGGTGATGTAGAACACCATGGTTGCTGATAGCAGCACAGATTGTGACATTGCCACCTCGTTGACCAGGGACTTCAACAATGGCCCGCTGTCCAATCACGTTTCGGGCCTCTCCTTCTCCTCTTTGTTAGATTGAAGCCCGCTTCATCGACAAAGATTAACTCATGGGGTCTGTCCAAGGATTCCAAGTCAAATATTGTCTGTGTAGGAATACAATATAATGTATGTAGAATTTAGTAAGTTGTACAGAGACAGTGCTATATTGTTTGATTAGGCCTACTGTATGCACTTCTGATTCACATACATTGTATGTACTGAAGAGTAATGTCATTCACATAGTATGTGGCAGTACTGTAGACAATCTGGATTACAGTAAATGTGTCTGAATGTACACTTACTTGCACATACTGAGCTCGCAGTTCTTTCACCCTTGGTGAGTTGCGCTCAAAAGGTACTCTGTATACTTGTTTCATTCGTATCCTGTTACGATGGAGGACACGGTCAATTGTGGAAATGCTCACACTGTCGATTCCCTGGAAGTGTGTGTTGTCTTGTATCACTCGTTCCTGGATTTCTCTGAGTCGTATTGAATTATCTTGAAGGACCATGCCCACTATAACGGTCTCTTGTTCCTGAGTGAATATAGCTCTCCTTCCACCTGCATGTGGCAGCCTTGCAGTTCTACAAAAAGTAGATGTGCAGTTACAAAAAATATTCATGCAGTACAATACATACAGTGATAAACTTTACAAATGTCTATTGAAACAGCTGCATATAGTGTAGTACAGTAAATTTGCAATTACAAAAATACAGTAGCATACTGTACCTGTTCTCTTCTCTGAATGTCCTTACTATGGTGGACACAGAAAATCGGCTCAAATTGGGGTGCACTCTAAGTCCTGCTTCCCTCATTGTCAGTCCGTGGACTATAACATGGTCTATGACTGTTGCTCGAATTTCATCAGATATTTCCACTCTTTGTCTTCCTCTTCCTATTCGTCCTCCTCTTCCTCTTTCTTGCCCTCCTCCTCTTCCTCCTCGTCGCCCACCTCGCATACGCACTTGTCCTCGTCCTCTTCCTCTCACATTGTTTCTTCTATCCATTCTCAGACTTTCTCCTTCCCACCTTCAACCACCTGTTTGCTCTCTAAACTGGCTTATATTGGTTGTGTCACATCATTTGATACAAGTGAAATCAATTTTGAGTGATTGTGTTTAATCAATGACATGTGTTCTCTATTTGTATTTGATTGTTGCCACTTGTGTTTACCAGTATGGATGACATGTGCATTAGAGTGCAGAATGTGTTTTGAGACTGAGAATGTGTTTAGAGTTTTACTGAAAAGTCTAAGTGAGATCTGCAAATTGTGTTTTACCATGTGAAATAGTTTAAGGTATTGACAACAGACTGCACAATTAGCTAAATGAGTTCAGGCAACTGAGAACTTTGTTCAGCCAATGGGTTTTAGTGTTTTAGCAATTGAGAAAAACTGTAATATACGATCACATCGGTGTAACCAGTCTTCACAGGGTTAGCCAGGCTGAGTTGAATCAGCAGAGTGTGACTCAGATAACGACCAGAGTTCTGCGGGTACGGGGGTCAAGAAGGTGTGAAGAAGGTTAAAGGCTAACACAGAGTGAGAAAAGCAAGAAGATGTGAAGAGAAAGGTGCCATAAATATAGTTGAAGTCTCAAGGTCATTTGTCCTCTTCATCGCTGCTCAAGTTCTCTCCTTGGTTGGTTTTCCAACGTGAGGGGTCACCGGTAATTATCTGCTCTTGTCAAACGTAGGAGGCTCAGCGAGACACCAGGTCACCTGTGATTGTGATTGAGGTCCTGGGCACGCACACACACACACACACACACACACACATGCATACACACACATGCATACATAGAGAAACATTTCATTAGGCCTCTGATTTGGTCATTCATCATGTCACAGCAAGGTCACACACGGCGGCCGACACATGTTTATGTCTACGGAGATCGTGTGTGTGTGAGTGTGTGTGTGTGTGTGTGTGTGTGTGCGTGTGTGTGTGCTTTGTTCGTTCCGATCCGGTTTCCCATTCAGGTCAGAGAAAGAGGAAGTTGCTCTACAATTGATTGACTCAAATCAAAGAAAGGCATGTCAAATAATATGCTACGTTTGAGCTAAAATATTGTAATAAAGTACATTTGTAAACTTACAGAACAAATTAAGACGTATATGTGTATTATAACAATCCTTATAAGACATCTAACCAGTAAGTCAGCTACACTATTATGTCTTAAGAGTGAGATGAGAAGCCTGATACCGCTCTTATCTCATCGCGCCAAGCATTGCCCTAGAAACAGCTGGCGATTAGCTTAGCTTAGACAGGAGGCAGGTGGAAACATGTAGCCTGACGGAGTGCTTATAAACGCCTCTAAAGGTGTGTTCAGACAGAATGCAAAGCACATAATTCATTTTGTGTTATTTGTGCACAGCATTTCTGTGTACAGACTTGACAAAAAAGGAACAGTTTATTGGAGAGCTTTATGGGTGCTGGAAGGCGAGCTACGCTAGCTGTTTCCTAAGCTCATAGCCTCGAGCTCAATTACTGATATAATTCACATCAAAAAGTGTATTTTTTCCTCCAACTATTCCTCCAATGAACATTGGGTTGTTTTTGAAACCCTGTCTCTTTTTTCCCCATGCAGTCCAATAATTCCAGTCAAATGTAACTAGAAAATCAAAGAGTCAGAGGAAGAAAACAGCTGCACAAATGTACAAATGACAGCAAAACACAGATTTCTGAACAAACAACAACATTAAAGCCATGCCATGTGTGTATGGCTTTTGAAAAACTCATTCAGGTGCAACACCGAGCACCAAGGGCTTCATTAAAAGATGCTTCCACGCACAAATGTATTTTAATATATGCACACCTCCAGTGAATGCTAAATGTCTTGCATAAATTCCCCCTTGGTAAGCTAATGTATGAATGGACTGTGTGTGGACGTCCCTGTGTGGGTATTGTGAGATAGCGATCTGTTCGGAGACTAAAACACACACACAGATCAAAGCTCCGGCCTCATTGATGGCACCAACGATATTGACTTGCTGGTTTTCTGTACTCTGCAGTAATGTCTGCATGGACATCAGATTGTGGCGATGTTCATACCTTCACCTAAACCTTGTTCAGGTCTGTGTTGAAATTAGATATCAGGTGCGGAGGGCAAAGCTGTTTCTGTCAAGCCTCTGTTTAATATTATTTCATATAATCCAAATAATAACGAGGAAAGCGTTCTGATAAACCCTAAATGCAGATAGTGTCTTTTCATTTTTCAGGTTTCAGGGAACTATTGCATTTGTATCTTAGAGTCCCATCCACCAGCTTGTGTTTTATTATGTAAAAGGCACCTTGATCCCATTGTTGCTGCTATATCGCCACCTAGTGGCACTTACTGAGGCTGGTGACAAACGTTATTGTACGTTGCAGGAACTATTTCAGTTGAATTAGAGATCCTTTAAAAGGTCAGTCCACCCAATTTACAAAATAAGTACTTTATCTTCAGGAAAAACCTGTTGCTTTCTCTTTGTGGAGTTTAATTGTTTGTACTCATTCTAGACAGCATGTAGTAATCGTCATAGTATACTGTTTATGTACTTTTAACTGTACAAAAACCACTCCACATTGTGACAGAGCTTGTGTGAGCTGTGTTGCTGCTGTGTTGTTTGTCTTTCAGAGTTCCTGGTTCCTGGTTGGTTGGAGCTGGAGGCCATCAAGGAATTGGCAGCAGCTGGCCTCTGTTTCCAGTCTATAACACCCGCCTCATCCCAGCAGTCTGTTTTCTCCCCCCCGGCACCACCATGTGCGATGTTCAACTTTTGAGTTGCTGTAAACTTTATTCACCATTACCTTAGTTAACCTGGAAGGATTTGTTTCCTGCGTGTATCACTTGTCTGAACTCGTACATTGTTACATGTGTTAAACTAATTTTACCTTTTGTTGAATAAAACTCCTTTCTTAGTTAATCGCTCACTTGTGCCTCCCCATATCTGCTGTAGTCTTACAGCAACATACTAACAGGAAATTACACTCTATGTGTGACGTTGATTGTTTTAATTGTTTTCAAAGATGTTTTTTATTTTGAGCTGTCTCACCACCACCCACAATTTATTTTAATTTGTTCCAGCTCTGAACAGCTCCTTTTTTGTGTGTGTGTTGCATTGTGGGAGAATAGCGTGCAGCAACAGCATACAAAACAACCTTATTTAGTTAGCATTTTCTGTACTTTGAGTACTGCTAAATATATATATATATATATATCCAGATTAGTGAGAAAATGTTTGTTTTTTCTGTAATGTGGGTGAACTACTCCTTTAAGTTAACATGTAACAGCAGCATCTCATTAAGAAGGTGAACCTCTTTTTCTTAAGACAGTCATTTATTGAGGCACTTGACACAAGCCATGGAATGTACAAATCAAATACAACAAATGAAAAGTATTTTTCACATTCTTGTATCTGTAAACATGGTAAAGAGAATACATTCCGACAGTTAATTCACATTGAACCGTTCCCCCATCCACCCACGATGGAGAGAAGTGCGAGAACAATATCAACGCCTCACTCAGAGTAGTACACCGCGTACGACAGCTACAAAACTGCAGTGGAGCTAAATACAAAAACAATTGACCGACTCCCCGTTACTGTCACAACTCTTCATTCGTAAAAGTCTGTCGGGAGCGGATCAGCAACAAAGCGACATGCAGACAAGCTGTTCATGTGCTCTCGTTTTACCTGCAACTATTTTCCACATAATGTGTGTAAGAGGTAAGTAAATTGCGGATGAGGCATCTAAGTCTATTCAGCATCACAAAAACACTTCTCTACTTCTGATCATTATTTAATAAATATATAAATACATTATATTTTTAGCAGGCATATGCACAGTCCAAATATGTCTTTCTGCTTTGGCATATCACTCTATAGGATGTAAACATTAATGTATATTAACTTCACAAAAGTAACAGTTTATATACTTTCTTTTATTTATTTTGTTGTCATCTTGAGGCCCTGAATGTCTGTGTACATGCCTGCTATGTAAAACCTTCTGAGGCCAGAAAACACAAAATATTTCAGGTGTGCGAAGGTGGATAAGGCTGCTGTCGGGCTACTGTGCCTGAATAGATACAGAATGAGGTTTGAACGCAAAAGCTATACAGCTCAAGTTTTCAAAGCTCTTGCTCATGTTCGTACACCCTGTTGTCCTCATGGTCCTCCCAAAACTAAACATCCAACCTAAACAGCTGGCTCAGCTGGTGCTCACATCTGTAAGGGTTAGCGTCAATAAGGCTGTAGTTAGAGGAATGCTCAAAGCATATGTTTCGAGTATCAAACACATGGCTGCCTGTTGGCTTGTAAGGTGCAGGTTCGTTGGGGGGAAAAAATATGGTTGAACACAACTTGCGATGTCGGTAAACACAGCTGCAATGCCACAGGGCACTAACATCATGTCGTCTCTGTTTAAATTATATACCAATCACTCACAGAGGGGAGTTTTCTACCAGAGTTATAATCCTGACTGTGAAGAAGCCAAAAACAAACCGAATGTAAAGAAAATATTACAAAAAAAAACTTTACAGCCTTCTTTGATGGCTGTAGTTAATCTTTTCTCAGAGGGGAAGGGTCTCGCACTGGTGCACTTAAGACTCAATCCTCACAGCTGTGAAAACACTGTATTTCGCCATATTTTGGAAAAACTATGGTTGTTTTTTTAAAAATAATGAGCGTGGACAGTGGGGAAGAGGATTATGCTGCAGCCGACATGTGACTGGGGACTTTCAGGCCTACAGTCAATGTGTGTTAGACGCTCTAAACATACCGTAGGTTTCCTATAAGGAGTTAAAACTTGGACACAGAAAGTCCATGCTCAGTCTAAACAGTCAGAGTCCCCGATTGACCGTTTTGTGCCATGTTGTTTGGTATCTGTGTTGTCGTTTGTGGCCTTTGTGGTGAATATATAAAACACAGTTACACAGGGATTTTACCCCTTCATGTCTGTGTGTGCTCTTCTAAAATCCTCCTGCTCAGACATAGACGGATTATAAAAGTCCCATTATTTCTTCTATTTTTTAATACCTGTGTAAATGCAGCCGATTAGCCCGTCCCGTTCTGTGGAGTGAGACTCTCCCAGGGACAGATGATCTCTTTGGCTCCCACTCCTCCACGAGAGGCAGCCCTGCTCTCCTCGTCCTCGTCCTCAGACTCTATCGGGTAGATTCGGCACTCTGGAGGAATATCCACTTTAATCTGGAAAAAGCTGATAAAATACAATGCGGGCAGCAAGTTATTAGCTCTACAACATTGGATTTGAAATGTAAAAATGAGTTATAAGTGCCAACTTTAAAAAAGACTATTGTCTTAATGGTACACTGGGAAGATTCATAGTGACATCTAGTTATAATGTTTTCCCTGTTCACCTGGGATGTCTCCCCTTATTATTTAAAATAAAATCATCGCATTCAAAAAGAGTGTGCAGACTGACTTTGTGTGTGTTCCAATACTCATACTACCATACTATTTAGTATGCCAGAGAAGATTTAGTACGTCCCAATACGTAGTAAGTCAAATGCAGCATGCCAAATACTTCAACCCATTTTGCAGTTTGCAAGCCAGCATGCTTTACTGGCTATTCTGACCCACAATCCTCTGAGTCTACACTGCAGATTTATGAGCAGAAGGGCCAAAGTTCAAGGTGCAATGTTACGAGGAAGTAGTGTGTCCCAATTGATTGCATACTGCATGCAACAGTACACACTGTGTAACGGCAGCTTGCAGTATGTACTAAAACTAAAAAAGATAAAGCGTGTAATTTGTCTCGCACTTACTTGCCAATCCGTCTGGGTGGAGCCTGACTAGGTTGATCTGGGCTGATTGGCTGAATGCGGCTACTCGTCCCGGTAGCTGAGTGGCATTTGGGCGACAAGCTGGCGAACATGGAGGCGGGGGTGCAGCCGCGCTTCAGCAGACGACGCAGGGACAGAGCCATGCGAGACTTGGACACATTCCCACCGACCGGTGCTCGGGCCGCAGGGTCCCCCTCGCCTTCTCCCCCACTGGCCTCCGCTCGCCGCTCAGAGGTCGAGGTGCTCTCTAAGGCCACGCTGATGGGGGACGGACAAGCCGGGGTGTGGGCCAGGAAGGGGAGAGAGGGTGAGGCGTTGGCGGTGGGGAAGTCGGTGAGGCCGGAGTAGACGGCGAGGTGGGGGACGGGAGTGGTGAAGCGGCACAGCTGTGAGGTCAAAGGGCAACAGAAAAAAATACGAGTGCATTTTGGAAAACTTTCAGGTCGTTTTTAAAATGTTGTACTTACTTTTACACCATGATGTACATGATGTACACTTATAAGTCATAATAAGCAATGCCTGACATGATCAAATCGAATCAGATGTAAAATACGTATTCGACTACGACTACTTTTAGGCTACATGACAATCAAACGATATGAAGAAAAGTGAATGAATGACAACTCAAAACAAACAGAGAAACATGCGATGGTTTGTGGGGTTTTTATTAGCTTATGACTGATGACAAAGAAAACAAACTGTACAATACAAAACACTGTTTGAGTGAAGATGGACAGAACAACACATCGATTATGAGAAACAATATGACAGACAACAGTTACAGCTTTTATGGACAGAAATGTAACAGATGGTAACAACAGGTATGGCCGTTTGTCATGACTTGTGTATAGACGTGAGTTTAAAGGCTCAGTTCACCCAAATCACAAAACCATACCTCTCATTTTATGAGACATTTTCCAGGTAAATACATTAATTTGTGGTGGGGAAAACAAAACAAAGTGTCATATTTGCAGGTTTGCAGGGTTGTGTTTCAATAAATGTAGAATAAATCTATTTTTGTGGCATTTTGTTGTCTTGTTTCTGAACATATCTCCAATATTTATCTCTTTTTATCTTTGTTTTTGGTCTCTTTAGCTGCTAAATACTCCACTATGTCACCAGATAGTTGCTAACTCTGTATATCTGCTGTTTGGTGCTGAGCAGGTAATGCACAGAGGATTTTTAATCACAAAATACTAAACTATAAGAGTGAACCAGAACAGTAAAGTTGCAGGTAGTAGAACCGAATCTATGAACTGAAATATGTTATAAAGCTCCCTAGAGTGCAGTGATGTTCATCACTACGAGCGACCCCTTTCACATTAAACACGTTGTTATTATAAAAATATTGATTACAACAGCTCCTAACTTAAAAGTTAAATGGCATTCAAATGTAAACATTATCATTAATAAATAAACTGCAGCGTATTTTTTTTAATGATTCCACTAAATAGTTCTATAAAATCCATGAACACCGCGTGTTTGTGTTTATTTCTTAGCAGGAGGACGAGGAGGGGGGGGGCGCCTCCTTGCCCTGCTTGCTGAGTTTGCTCATGACCTGTGTGATGTCAACGTTGGCGGCCATCTTGGCCCTCTGCTCCTGCTCCATCTGCCGGAGGATGATGGGGCTGAGACTGGGCCGCTTCTTCTTTGCATTCTGCACCAACTGGGCGTCACTGGGAGGGAAAGGATAGAGAAACAGGAGAGAGAAGGGAAGGAGGAAGAGACGAGGTGAAAATTAAGTTTTGGAAAATGATGAATGTGGTGGTTTCAGGAAGCTGCAGGGACACTAATATCAGCCAGAGCAGATGAGAGACATAACATTTGGTTTTTCTAACCAATGTCACTCCTAAGTCGTCCTTTGTAGTGAATAATGTTCCCCATTTGATGCTCTTGTGCTTTATTCGGCAAATCAAACCACTGAAGTTTTTTCCCCAATTAAAGCAGAGAAGATTAAAGCTCAACATCGTCTGAAAAAGTACATTTAATGCATAAATGTGGGAGTTAAAAGCTGCCGCATGCCTGAACTGGTGCTCTTCAGGACAGATGGCCTTCTTCAGCGTGTCCTTAAACACCGGAGATTTCTGGTATCGCCCGTACGAGTCCTGCAAAACACACACAAACTCGTCATGGATCAGTGATTGGTGATGGCGAGTGCGGGCCTGTGGGAATTATGACGCCACCATTGTCTTGTGGTGTGTTTACTGACCTTCTTCATGAGCATGTAGATGTGAGTTTGGGCTGCATCCAGGACGTATCTGTGCGGGTGTTTCAGGCCCTTCACCGTGATTTCCATCGTCTTTCCGTCGATGTTGATCCACCGCGGTGCACCGCGTGCCAGGAATGTCCTGGGATGAGGAGAGTTAAAAACACTTGCATCAAGTACTGCACTTCAGTACAAATTTGAGGTAATTTACTCGATTATGATCACAGGATAACATCGTTTTTACTCCACTATCTGACAGCTATAGTTACGAGTTCATCGTCAATGAAAAGGGAAGAAAACTTCCCAAATGTCTTCTTGTTTTGTCTGAACAGACACAAAGATATTCAGTTCACAATGATATAAAGCTGCAACCAGAGTGTGTCATTAATCAATTATCAAAACAGTTGCTTGACTAATTGTTTCTGCTCTATGACTAACCTCTGTCAACATTCAATGTATTCTACACAGAGAGTAAATGAAGACATTACTTGTAGATGTGCTCTGCTTTCTCTCTCATCGTCGCAGCTTCGCCCCACTTCAGATCTTCGCAGCCCTCCCAGAATGCCAAGTTCTCACCTAAGACGGTACAGAATAGAAAATAATAGGAAAGAAAACTACTCTCAGCCCATATCTCATGGCTGAAATATTAACATTGTGTGAGCAGAAATGAATCTACAGTACGATAACACTTCTGTCATCAACTTTTTTTAAATAACAACCATCGTACCGCTGAATTCTTTCTTCAGGAAGAGTCTGAAATCATCTCGTCCTCGAGGGTCTGAGAGCAGCTCTGCGAAGCTGAAAGTCCACCTCTCCACGCGCATTTTAGTTGGTATTTCCACACTTTTTAAACACACAAATAAGACGAACAAGTCATTCGAAAATGATTCTCTTGATTATCAATTGTTTATCGTCCTCAGCTGACTCACTTGGGCATGTTCAAGGTCCAGTACGTGGCGTCATCAGTGAGCCAGGGGTTGCTGGGGAGACACTTGGAGAGGAAAGGGTCGTGGCTTCTATAGGTGGCGCAGTACTTCACCAATCTGCAAGAACAGGGCGAAAGATTAACATTATGGTCTGTAAAATACTGCAAAATATGTTACCTTCCCCATAAAGTTTGTGTTTTGGGTACAATTTGCTAGATAGTAGGATATCTTACAAATATGAAGAAATATATTCAAAATATGATCGTCTATCACTCTGTATTTCATGCTAATCATTTTCAACTATTAAAACAGCAGCCTTAATGATACCATGGTAATAACAAGTCACTGAACCTGCAGTTACTGTGTCTATATCGTCTGTGCTTGACTTTCAGCAGGTCAGTCAGTGGAGATGCTATTTTGAGACGATATGATGTAACCAATCTAAAGTGACTGGTTTGTCACAGATACAAGCAGACTGGGAATATGATGGACTAGCTTACGCGCTAATGGACACCGATGACTTCACTCTGGGCCTCATGATGGCCTGCTGGGTAAAGATCATCTACAGGGAGGCGGAAGAGAGATGACAGCTATAACAATGTCTGTCTCTAAGGATCACTGATGGTTAACACGACTGGAAGGGAGGAAAAATGATGGGAAAGTCAGAGAAAGAGTGGACTTTAAATCCTCACTCACGATTCTCTCGTAGAAGTCGGGTGTTTTGGCCTGAGGAAGAAAAGGTATTAAAGGTTATGTTGTGAGATCACAAAATAAATCTAAATTTGCATAGACAAAGATTGATTTTGGTCTGTGTGTATTGGCGTGTTTTTGTACACGCTTTCATGCTTTTGAGTAACACTGAGTATTCAAAATCTAGAATACTCACTAGTTTCTCAACATTACCAAACCTAGCTTAACTTTTGGGTTAAAAGAGTACTCAATAAATTTAGCACTGCACTCCTATAACGTTGTCTGATTCATGATCGACAGTTTTTAAAAAGTATCAACGTTGATGCTGCAGAAACATAAATATCGTCCTTTTATTCCATGTATTTTTCTTCTTTGTCAAAACTTGGCGTCCACATTACCCACAACGCAACAGAGGTCTGGTAAGCTCATAAACTCCACATCTCCAGCATATTTTTCATATTCAAACTTGTAGTCTTTAACCTCAACCTACGCTGACTCAAGTTTCATCACATCACATTTATCAGACTTCACACAGCCCCCCCTCTGGAGCCCCAAAGGGCCTGACTCAACCTTTTTTAGTCGTACACCTTAAGACCTGTGAACTGATCTTGAAGTGTAAAATCGGTGGAGTTTACCTTTAAGGTTGGAATTAAGTTTAAAGTCGAGGTTGCAGGTAAGGGTTAAGTATGTACGTAGCTGTGTCAAGTACAAACATGAGGGTTGTGTGTGTGTGTAGGTGTTCATAACCAGTTAAAAAGTCTGAAAACAAAAAGAGAGACATGGGAAATGCCTGCAGAAGATAAGAGAAGACAAGGAAAGACAAGAGAAGAGAAGTTAATTTCAGTAACCGATAACTCAAATGATTGAAACAGTAGACGGGGAAATGAAAGGGAAGTAGAGGACATGCATCCTTTACTGGATCCATGTATTAAAGCCTCTTATTGAATATAAGCTGATTGGCAGGAATTATGTTCACCCGGGTCACACAGAGACTCACCTGTTACCTCGTCTGCGTTTGGATCTATTAGTCGATCCAGTCCATAGTCCATGGCGCTCACTGTCCCTGGCTGCACACACATCAACAACAACACAATGATTTCACAATGTGTGTTTACCGAAGGACTCATTATCTAAAGCAGATGGCTGTTTTTATAATGATAATCCCAGGCTGCCATTGTGTCACACTCCTCCCAACCATCTGAGACGACAAGCAGCCAGTCACGTGTAAAATGGGATTTTGTGAAATCACTGTTTACAACATTACAACTTAATGAAATGTGTTTGTTTTCAGCAGACATGTTTTGACTTTAAACCACATTTAGCAGCAGGATAAGTCTGTCCCTGGATTATGATGTTATGTTAGAAAGAAAGCTGACTTTGACTTTTATGATTAAAAGGATGAGTCTGTGTATTGTATGTAAATAATGCATCTCAAGAAAAATGTTTTCTGCGGGAGGAAGATGTTTACAGATCCACTCATTGCCTTAAAAGAGAAATAAACTATTTTTTGGAAGCCAGTGTGCAGGCCTCCTCTGTGCCCAACCCTTTATATGGAAGAAAATACGAAGGACTTAAAAGGAAGTTTCTGTACAAAAGATCAAAGTAATATATTTTGGAAAATACGCTTCTTCACTTTCTTGCTGAGCATTAGACAAGAAGATTGATACCACTCTCTTGTCTGTGTGTGCAGTACAGAGAAAGAGCCACAAGGCAATTAGCCTAGCTTAGCATAAAGACTTGACGCAAGATAGCCTTGCTGTCTGCAAAGTAAAAAGAGAAATGCACCTACCAGCACCTCTAAGCTACTCTTTCTTTAAGTATTCGCTCTATATCTAAAGTGGTGTTTTGCTGCTACAGCCTGTGTCTGGTATGACCGGTTAGCTTAAAGGTAGCACACTTTAGATGGATGTTGCTATTTAACTGATACGTCTGAGTCAGTTCACTGACTTTATGACTCTTCTTATGTGACACAATGTTTCCAGTAATCGTCATTTAGTGTTTGACCTTTGGCAGGTCAGGAAAAGTTGCAAGTTAAAAGGTTCCCTTTAAGAGCAGTCGAACAATCTAACTCAGTAGAACAATCGACTCATGGCAGCTCCCTTATATTTTGGCTACAATTGTAGAAACCAAAGAGATTTAGACACATTTGTCTTTAATGGCTATTCACAGTATTTTCTGATTTGTGGAGTGATAAAAGCAGATATCCAAAAGCGCCTCAATAAAAACCTTTGACTCTATTATGTCAACAAAATAGAACACAAATTTTGAACCTGGCTTTATCCAACGTTAAGATTTGTGTTCTGGAAAGTTGTGAACCTGAATCTTTCTGGAGGTTATGGAGTGAGCTTCCTGGTCAGTAACCCAGCCTCATGAAACAGGGTGAAACTCAGACTCACAATGCCACTAGGTGCAAACCGCCACACACCACATTCTCCTATGCAGTGTGAAATATTAATCAGTGGTGCCCTTTTCCTCTGACTGGACATGCAATGGTAATGAGGCATCATGGGTGGAGATAATGAGATACCCTGGGAAGTATGGAGGTGGAGTGCAATTTATTTCCAGACGTCTCAGTCTGCTGGCAATCCACTGATATACACGAAGCCATATCCTGTGTGTGTGCAGTACATGTCTGATAACTATCTGTGTGTGTGTGTGTGTGTGTGTGTGTTTGTGTTCTCACCGGAGGTCTGTGAACCACCCAGTAGGCTCGCTCCTGGCAGTCAAACACCACACGGTCCGGTTTCTTCCTCTCCTTCGCGGCCCTAGAAATCGCACACAAACACGGAGCATCGTAACACCTTCTTGATCTCAAAACTGAAGGGGACGTCTCTTAGTTTGTCACACCACCTACCTGTACTGTTCTTTAGCTTGCATCACTATGAAATCCCATTTGTGATTCATCCACTTGTGAAGACGGTTATAGTGCTCCTGTGGACAGAAAACAACACCTCAGTAAATGCCAGCAGTGAATCGCTCTCAATGAATCGCTCTCATTTACTCAGTCTCACCTGCTCGTGCAGCTCCAGGATTCCTTTCTTGCGTATGTTTCTTTTTGCCAGGTAGATTGCTGTCATAATGAAAGGGAAACACGTGAGTGTTTGGTACCAGGACGTGAGATAAAATGTGTGCCACTACAGTCCCACTCACCATAATCTGTATCCTCAACAGGCCACTGCTGTGTGGGCCAGAAGTACGGTGTCTGGGAAGGATAAAAGTCACAAGTGTTATTGTGATGTATTGGTTACAGACCAGAAGCCAAGTAGGAGTCATTTATCATTGCTCAGGAAACCAAAAGCAAACCAAGTTGTGGTTTTACGTCACAAAAAGAATAGTGAGTAATAGCACTATAAACACCCGTCTGGTGCAGAGCAGAGCGGTTACGCGGAAATGTGAAAACATTTCGTTTAAAAGCTGGAATGACCTCAGCTCCTCAGAGGCGCTTCATTCATCATTCTTTGTTTTTATAATTTATCAAGAAAAACATTCACAGGTTCCAGCTTCTCACATGCTTAATTTCCTGATTTTCTCTGTTTTATAAATATATTACAATAGTTTGGGGTTTTATAGACTTAAAAGATGAATCTATAATTAAAATACATAATAGCTGTCATAATTATCTCCATTAGAAGCTGCTGTGTGCTTCAGCCCAAAAAGGCACCAATGAAAAATGCAATCAGTCTCATTATAGGATACCCTGGTCTCCACCTAGCTAGCGTCCTAATTGTCAAGTCAATATAATTACAGAGCATTGAAAGCCAACAAACGTTGACTAATGTGCGTTTTCATCAGCATTCAGCTTTGATTGACTCGATGAAAACGTGCATTGCATCGAAACTTCAGTCCTTGCACCGAATAAAACTGCCCATGGATCAATATTCAATCCTAGTAAAATAAAATCATAATTTATTCTTACGTGTTTTTGCACATTACCACCACTAACTGTTGTGCATCCTCTTGCGAATGCAAAAACATTCATTCATGGCGCTATTTGTGGTAAAAAAAACCTCCACGAGGCACCTTTAAAAATCTCTTTAAGAGCTGCCTTGGCTCTGGGGTTTTGAAATGCGGTGTGTTTACCTGGAAGCGATAGAGAGATACGTCTGGTTTGATCACTAAGCGTTTGTGGTCTTGTAGAGGGTAGATGTATCCTAACGCCACCAGCATGGAGCCAAAACTCCTCGCCTCTGGAGACAACCGGAAGAGAGTCGAGCAGGAATTAAATCAACTGATAAACTGTGTATTTAATGTATGAACGGCATCCGCCGCCTCATCTCTCACCTTGTGTGTCTACTTGGAATCTGTCCGCTAACCATGTAATGATGTCTTCACCTGATGAGGACAGATAGAAAGCAACAGTCAGGGGTAACAAAATGTTCACCAGCAGATAGAAAAGCAGCTCTGAGGGCGAACACCAAGAAATACATTTTTGTGTGTGTCGATACGTAGGTGGGCTTCTAAATGACAAACCCCTGATACACCGCCACTGACTGTGTTGTTAGCCTGTGAGCCTCTAGAGCTGATGTGGAGGAGGAGGCACAGCAAGAAACAAGGAGAGGAAAGGAGAGGAAAGGAAAGAGAAGAGGAGGAAATAAAAACGGGGTATATAAGAGGAGAGACAGGAAAGGAAAGGAGATGAGAGAAAAGAGGATTGGACAGAAATGTAAAGGAGTGGAGAGGAATGAAGGAGTAATCAAGAAGAAATAATGAGAGAAGAGGAGATGAGGAAAAGGAGTAAAGGAAATGAGGGGAGACAAGAGAGAAGGAAAGGAAAGGAGGTTAGAGAATTGGAAAAGAAAGGAGAAAAGAGGAGATAGGAGGGAAATAAGGAAAGACAATGTGAGGAATGGGAAGGAGAGGAAATGAAAGGAGGAGGAAAGGAGAGGTGAGACAGAACAGGAAAGGAAGGGAGATAAAAAGGAGTAGAGAGGAGAGGAGAAGCTGTTTGCATGTTTGGTTTCATTCGTTCATCTGTTTTAAACTGTCTGGATTCAAAGCACGCAAATGACGTAAAAGTCCAGGTTTCCTCTCCTCCTCCTCCTCCCTGTTGCTCTCTTGTCTCTGTTGCTCTCTTGTCTCTGTTGCTCTTTTCCTCTCGCCCGCTCAACCACCATCACCCTCCTTCCTTCACCTCCTACTTTCTCCCTCTCTCCCCGACCGCTCGGAGACCACGGGGGTTGTCATGGAGATTAAATCTGTAGCTCTCGAGTTTGAGTCGGTAGCTCCGGTATCCTCCAGTGAGACTATGCAGCCGCAATCACTCAAGCAGCTGCTGAATAACATCAAGTGTGTCCTACTGCGTGTGTGCGTGTGTGTGTGTGTGTGTGTGTGCTCTTTACCAGTAATAGCATGGGGTATTGTTGTTATAACCAGCCTCTGGGGCTGTGACTTAACTCCTGTTTTCGGGTCCTGCATCTCCAGCAGCACCTTCTCTGCCTGCAAAGGAATATCAAGATGAGGTGAGATGGATTTGGGGATTAAATCTGCTCCAATGTCAAGGACAGGATGGCGATGATGATAATTATCCACATCTTCATCATCCCCGTTAACCTCTTTTCTGTTGAATGAAATCTAATTGCCTCTCATATTTGAACCCACTGAGGCACATCCCCCCCCCCCCCCTGGTGATATTAAGGCTTGCTATCAACGCTTAATTATTTCTATCAAGCCAATGCTGCGGGACTTATTGACTCTGTCACCGCTTCCATTTAAAAAAAAAATGTGACAATTAACCGTGAAGCTTAACACTGCATCTAAACAAGGGGAGCGGTGAGATGGGAGTTTGTTTCATGCCCTGATCTCATAGCTTTTGTTTGGCTTGCGTGGGAGGTTCTGCGGTGAGTCACTGACCCCTGAACGGTGTTTAATTCATCATACCATCAGCTCAGGTGTGAACTGGAAATCAAGAAATCATGCAGTACATTAATTGACTTTGTGTGGGTGTGCGTGTGCTTGTGTGTGTGTGTGTGTGTGAGAGAGAAAGAGAGAGGGAGGGAGTGAGTGAGTGTGTATGCAGCTGTTTGAAGTGGCTTTGTGCTTTGAAGTCATCCTGGAGAGGCCATAAGCCGCAGGCTGAGCCGGACCAAAGTGGGCTTTCATGGACCAAAACACAAAGTTCTCCTGGAAATGAGTATAGCATTCCCCTGGAGAGCAGGACATTGTGAGTGCTGTATCCGGGTACAATAGTCATATTTTTATCTTAACTATTTCCTGCATACTTTTTTAAAATTTGAAATGTGAGATGATGAGTCGAGCCTCGCTCATGGCCACAGGACCGGGCTGCTGTTGTGCAACACACAGTGCCTGGATTAAGTTCTCTCCTGTGGCTGGTTAGTGTAGCTGGAAGCACCGATACTGATCCAGGATTAATGCTTATTAAACTGAACGACCTTATCACTGTGAAAAGGTTGCAACAAAACTGTCTAACATTAAGTGTGACAGACAGGTAGAGAGTGCCCACTGAAACCAAGATGACATGTGTTTAAGGTTTTAATGTCTTGTCCTTCTGTTGCATGTACTTCTGAATGCTTGGTTCCTATTAAATGTTGTGTTTTTTCACTAATTCTGATCAATCGGGTAACTTAAATGCGTATTTGCATGCATAATTGAAACATGGTATATTTGTTGTCTGCTTTGTTGCATTCTGTATCCCAAATTATATCTGTGGGCTTTGTTGCTTTGCAAAAACCTAAATAAACCTATACACTAAAAGCATAAAGAAACCAGGATTCCTCTGAGGACCTGTAGAGATTAGTGCAGTTTTTTATAGGACAAATGCCAATACAGCCTGTGTTTATGGGGATACAGCAGACCACTACAGCCCAAGCAATATTGGAGAATTCATCTATGTGACTGGTCTATAACTGCGTCTGCAGGTATAGTCTAGCCTGAGCAGCCCTTTGATCATCATCTCTGATGTAAAAGGATAGCCTACCTTCTTGATACAAGCCATGCGTGGTCGATACCTCTGTCCATGGTCGCGGAGAGTGTTTCTAATGGTCATGTCTAATGATCACTCCCTCACAGACACACACGGAATGCCACTGTGTCGCCTGAGAGTCCTGTGTCGTGTGGGGATGCTGGAAGGGAAGTGCAATGATAGACACTGATGCTGCCTTCAAGTGTTCCCCATAAGCTCCTGCTTGGAGGGTGGGAAATTTGAATTGTGGTGTTACGTTCTCATTTTCCATCATTCAAGTGAACGTTATAGTTAAATTAATTTTAGAAGAATTGGGGGTTTTATTAAAAATACAACCAAGCAGATGCAAAACAACAATCAATGATATACAATTTTGAGAAAAGTCCAAAATAATAAAAGTGTAACACTTTTTTCAACAAATATTGACAACTTTTCTGTGACAGTACCCTCTTAAATTCCCCAAAGGTCTACTCATAGAAAATCGAGGGGTATCCTGGCTACATTTCCTATATCATTGACCTTTTTGAAGTGCGTTGAAGTATATATTTTGATATTTCCAACAGCACGTAAAGGCAGCATACCTAAAGAGAGGGGAATCAACCAATCAGAGCGCGTCCTTTTCTAGCAGTTATGCAATTACCAAACTGAACCAGCAGGTGGCGACAGGGTAGTCGCATCAGTACAGATATCAAGACAAGTCTTGTGTTTTAACAACGTTATAGATTATTTTGTCAGCTAAACAAAAAAGTAGGCGTTTGAATTGAGTTTAACAAGTTTATAATACTTAAGGTTTTAATTACAAATTGTGTGATAGCGTCGTTAAGATTACATATCTACACATGTATACTTCACCTGACGTATTTCTACGTGAACATCAAATAGTTATATGTCTGTGCGTGTAATAAAATGCTGTGTTTGTGACATAAAGAAGCAAAGCTTAACGCGACTTAATATTGATGGTAAACAGTCAGCAGCACTACTTCCTGAGTTTAGGGAAGGGGCTTGGTCTCGTGCCCGCGCCCCGCGAACGCGCATCAAATTAGCATCGATGAAGTTTGTGCGAACATGGCGGATTTCCTGCCGACCAGGTCCGTGCTAAAAGTTTGTCTACCCGTCTGCTTTCTGAACACCGGAGAGGTGGAACAACTCCGAAAGTCCAAGCAGATCGACCGATGTCTCTCCCGGGAGAAAACGTACGTGAAGCGGCTGGTGAAGATCCTGCTGCTCGGCGCTGGCGAGAGCGGCAAGTCGACTTTCCTCAAACAAATGCGGATCATCCACGGCCAGGACTTCGACCAGCAAGCGCGAGAGGACTTCAGAGCCACGATTTACAGCAACGTTATCAAAGGTATAACCGTCACTGCCTCGCGCGGAGAGAGACGTTAGAGGGGGGCTGAGATATGAAGACGGAAAGGCGCTTAAAAAAAATGGATGGGAAAGTTTCCATATCTGTTTAGCAGCGCTGGGCTGTGAGAAAGAGAGGACGTACATAAACAGTCTACATCTGCTGTCGGCACACCCTTAACGAACCGTGTCTCTACTGAAATCACCCCTTTTTAATGAGTTCATAGCCGCGTAGCCGTTAGATATTCAACGGTTTAAAATTGAATCATAGCCGTTGGTTTCAAACAGCCATCGGCGAGTTTTGTTGCTCAACGGCTAACAGGGATGTAGCTAATGGAGGGTAAACCCACCAGTGTGTCTTGTAAGGTGTTCCTGTTTTTCCACTCTTTGTAGGTACAGGGAGTACTCTAATTAACTTGGACAATCTTCTAATAATATTTAATTTAGTGTAAACAAAAAACACCTTAACATGCAGTTACATTAATACCTCTGTGACAAAAAATATTGTATTGTTATAAGCCTCACAAATGTATTTATTTCCACCATTTGCAAGATCATGTGTCAATTATTAATATTACAGAAGAAAAAATTTGTATAAATATTAGTGATATCGGTTTATGTTTATTGAGTGGTTGTGATACCTTGAAATATATTTTTTACGTTCATTCATACATCCCTCTCAGACCAAACAGGTTTGTAGCACACCTGTTATTCGTGGTAACCATTGCAGTTCACCTGCCCTTCTAGTCTCTCTTCCACCTTAGGTTTCACTCGCATGTGGCCTCTTTTAACACACTTCCAGTGGGCCTCTATCTCTCTCTCTCTTATCGAGGTGTCTTCACTTCCTCTCCAGGTGTCCGCGTGTTGGTGGACGCCCGGGAGAAGCTGCACATCCCGTGGGGTGAGCCGGACAACCAGAAGCACGGGGACAGCCTGATGGCCATCGACACCCGGTCGGCGAAGATGGCCAGCGGGCGGCTGGAGACGTCCGTCTTCCTGCGGTACCTGCCCGCCATCAGAGCTCTGTGGGACGACTCGGGCATACAGAACGCATACGACCGTCGTAGGGAGTTTCAGCTGGTACGTAGCGTTGACACAGATCTACACAAAGTTAGGCCCAGATTTTTTTGCACACCACTCTCTCACCAAAATCAGGAACAGTTTTCTGGGCTTTTTTTAATTTTTAGAAAAGTCCCAGTGAGAGAGTTGAATGACAGTGGAAATAGAAAGTGAAACAGGGTTTTTCTTCTTAATTCATCCTCTCTCTCCATGTAATTCTTGTGTCTCTCTGTCTCTCTCTGAGCAGTCAGACATGTGATTGACTCAGCTTCCTGTTTACACCTCTCCCCGCTCCTTATGTCTCGGCGTCTTTTTAACACACTTGACATTTTACCCAGAATAACAGCTGTGGTTGCCGGTACGTTGGCGTGCCCTTACTGGGACCTTCCTGTGCTCTCATTTATGCCTGGTGTCACTTTCACCACCTGCAACGACTACATTTGTTGAATTTTCTGTCCGGTCATGTGATGAACTTTCTACATTATCCAGCAGTCGGGAACACGCTTGCTTTCAGTAATGAGACACGAGCAGAACATTTATATTTCCCTTTCAGTTGCATAAGGCTGAACCGTTCTCAATGGCGTTTTGTTGTGTCCCACACACACACTCAGCTGGTTGTGCAGACAGAAAAAGGGGAATAAGAGTGATCAGAGCTGGAATGTTGATCTGTAGTTAAACAGCTTTATGCTCACAAACAGAGCTCTAACTCTCCCACTCAGTGTTATTGTCACACCTCCAGTTACATAAGTACCAGGACACATGCACACATACGATCTGTGAGCGTGTGAGGCTGAAGCTAACCATTATTTTATCATATTTTGGTGTATAAAATATCACTTTTAAATTGCTTGTTTTGTCAACAATACAAAACTCAAAGATATTAAAGTTAGTGTCATCTCATTTTAGAGGCTTGAACAAACTTTATTCTTTTATTATTTTTAGCTTGAATCGTTGTTTGTTTCTGAAAGAGATATTTCAATTTTTTATGTATTGATCAGGAAATATTGAATACATGATCTTTAATGATAAAACTTTACTGTTGCGTTTACAAGTTTTCATATTTTTATTTTATTTACAGTCAGTGTATGAATAACACAGGTTACTACTGTATGGCTGAAACATCAACAAACAAGTAATCTGTAGAACTATTTTGGTTATCGTTTGATTTTGAATGATTAATCCCCCAAAAAAATAATCATCAGGTTAATCAATGATTAGCAGCTGCAGCCGTTTGTAGCGTATAAATCCTTGATTTTGAATTAAATCGCGAACCTAAAGGAAAGGAATAATATTATATATCTATTGTGATACGAGACTAGATATCGTCTTGGGTTTTGGATATCCTAATATGACATAAGTCTTTTTTCTATTACAGTAAAGTGTTGTCATTTTATGAACTGTTCTTCTGTTATTTGCCTTTAACCACTTAGCCTTTATATCCACATTAATGATGTTTATTTATCAAAAATCTCAAAGCACAAATAGTCAACCCCACGATATCAACACAGTATCGATATCGAGGTATTTGGTATTTGCGCTACCAGAGGGCATCGTCTCCCCAAAATACGAGCTCTCCCATTCAGACAATAACGCGAACAATAAAACCCCAAAAGCAGCATCTGAAGAGTTGTTCAGTTGGCAGCTGTTAAATATTCCCTGCTCTCGTTTACGAGGACTAATTTGTTTTTCTGCCAGCAGATACAACCCATCCTGTTTTAAGTATTTGCATCACAAATCACATCTCGGGCTCTCTCGTTTATTATCATTAATAACATATGTACACACACACAGATCCTCTCGCTTTGCATAGAACGAGGTCTCCCCCCCGCCCCTAAACATTTCAAGAGTCTACAGTTCAAAGGACACGCTGACATTTTATGTTTCACTTTTGTTTTCACAGCACACTCGTGCATCATAACGAACAGATAGAGCTCAGAGTTGTTGCTCTACTCATGTCGCTTTTTTGACGATTTGCAAACCCCCGGTCCTCTGGAGGGTCGAGCTCTGCTGCTCCGCCGTTGACAGAAAATGTGGCCAGAATTTAAAATTAGCTTCTTAGTAAGGTAGCTCGTCTTTCTTTTGGCTTTAGCGCCGCACGCCATTCTACTCCGCCCTTGTGTAATGTTAGCCTTGCTCACACTCCCCACACACACACACACACACACACACACACAGGATTTTCAGGTCAGGTTAGTTTTTTAAAAGATCAAAAGGTGAGAACAGGAGCTTACAGTGCAGGGGGGGGGGGATTCAAATCCAGAAATACTGCCCAAACAAACACTACTGCTGATCAAATTTGAATTTTAGAGCAAAGGTTGTTTTGTTTACTGTCGTTAATGCAAAATACTTGCAAAACAATAAAGGGTGTGGTGTGTTTACAGTAGAGACACTGGGTCACAGGAAAGATGGCGGGGGGGTAAATCTGGTCTGCAGTTTTTGGTTTATGTTGAGTTCAGGACACAGATAAAGGAATGCGTCTCAGTCCCGACGGCCTCATGTCCGGGCTTGCACTAAATGTGCATGAACAGCGTCAGAACGTTCTAGAAAAAAACATCCCCCCCCCCCCACACACACGCACGCACACACACAGACGCATGCGAGCGTAGCTAGCCACACTTCTGTATACATCAAAGACACACTTCTGAACACGTGTCTTCTGCAACACCAAATACTTTGCATCCTGCTTCAGCGACTCAGCTCTCGGCCGAACACACACACACACACACCGGTTTGGAAGTGAAAACAAACAGATTACCTGTATGTGTGTGTGGTAGCTAAAGGGACATATTTTCCTACCGCTACAACAGCAACAAATGCATTGTGTTGAATTCACTACTATCAGTTAGCAAACATGCAGACTTTGAAATGACTGAATCTAATAAATTGTGTGGAATTAACGGACATTCCTCCTCTGTCCTGTCGCAGGGTGAGTCAGTGAAGTATTTCTTGGATAATCTGGATAAGCTCAGCGATCCGGTAAGTTTGTTTCTGTCCTCACAGATTGTTATAATCAGACGTGTACATGTTAAAGTTGCTATTGCAACACGTCTGGACCATTTTAACGAGCAACCGGGATGGTTGACGGTGCTGACGAAGACGCTCCTATTAGCTGGAGCCATGTCTCAGAAGTATTGAACTCAGTTTCATGTTGTCATCCCTTATATATACACCAGCCCACTGTTGGAGCCTACAGGCTTGTAGTTGTTGATAATCACGTGTATCTACTTAAAACTACATTACAATGTAAACATGTATTAAATTGTTATCTGCTTATAACCCTTTTCGAGCCTTTCCTTGACCTCGATAGAAAGTCTACATCATATTAACGATGGCCCCATGTTGGATGAAAACAACACAACATGTTCTCCTTCATAAGCCCACTAATACAATGCAAAACAAGCTTTCTATATAATATATTAAAGTTGGCGTGTTGTCTTTCCTCCTTCGTCTACCAGCTCAGTCTGTTAGATGGTCGTTCACCGTGTTTCTCCCCTCCAGGACTATGTTCCCACTCAGCAGGACATCCTGCTGGCTCGCAAACCCACCAAGGGCATCCACGAGTACGACTTTGAGATCAAGAACGTCCCGTTCAAGATGGTGGACGTGGGGGGGCAGCGGTCGGAGCGGAGGCGCTGGTTCGAGTGCTTCGACTCGGTCACCTCCATCCTCTTCCTCGTGTCCTCCTCCGAATACGACCAGGTGACCACGGCGTCTCTATTCCTCTGTTACACACGAGCCTGTGATGGCCCGATAAGCATCAAGTTAATCAGTTTGTTCTGAAAGATAATGTTTGACTTTTTGATAAGTCCTCATTGTTGTCTACATACGCGCTCTTATTCTGTTGTGATTCATGCCACAGCACTTTTGCCTTCAAGTAAAACTCAATTAGTTTGTGCACATGTGCAGGTTGTGCCCATTAATACCATATTTAAAAAAAAAAAATGTCTGATTCATTATATTATGTATCGTCTTTTGCCCAAATTCACAGTTTTAGGGTCATGATTTAGTTCGGATAAACGCAAGAAATACACACAGGACATTTGTCTTTTATTTTGAAAGAATGAGCTCCTTCCACACGAATGAAATATCGTATGTAAATATTGTAACTTAAACTACATCTTTTGATAGATTTCCTCAAATTTGGTTATTATATAATTATGACCAAGATATGTACTGAGCAGGAAAATATATATAATTGGGGAAAAAAGACTTTCCAATGCCCTCTGGTTTACAAACTATGTAATGCTGACACTGAATCTAAATTACCTCAATTACTTGTGATAAAAATCGATCAGGTTGATGCATCATTTGGGCTCCAGAAAGAACATTTAGCACTTTCAGAGATCTGTGTGGTTACATTTCCGCAGTAGTAATTGTACTCACCGTACTGTTGTCCTCAACAGGTGCTGATGGAGGACAGGCAGACCAACCGGCTGCGCGAATCGCTCGACATCTTCGAGACCATCGTCAACAACCGCGTCTTCGTCAATGTGTCGATCATCCTCTTCCTCAACAAGACGGACCTGCTGGAGGAGAAGGTGAAGAGCGTTCCGCTCAAGGACTACTTTCCAGAGTACACCGGGCAGGAGCACGACCTGCCGGACGTCCAGGCGTTCATGGTGGAGTGCTTCCGGGCCAAGAGGCGCGACGCCACCCAGAAGCCCCTGTACCACCACTTCACCACGGCCATCAACACGGAGAACATCAGGCTGGTGTTCCGTGACGTCAAGGACACCATCCTCCACGACAACCTCAAACAGCTCATGCTCCAATGACCCCTGTCGACCTGTGAAAGTAGAGGACCTGAACGGGGACAGACCACCACCACCACCCCCCCCTCCCCCCACCCCCCCTCGCTCCTGACGAGGACTCGGAAAGAGGACCAGCCTCAGAAGAATCCGTTAGACGTCAGCATTCTTCTCCAGCCGTTTTTATATTAGTTTTTACCCTCCTCTTTTGAAGAGTCGTCTTCTTGTTAGTTAAAGGGTTTGGTAGGGGAACAGACTGTCTGTGGTTATACAGAAAGACAGGCGGGAGGTTCAGATGTTGGATAACATCTGATCCCTGTTGCTTCGTCTCGAGACTCTCTCCTCTGGCCCCGAGCGCCTGGCTGCGGAAAACCTGCGAAACTTTTTACAAACCGGGCACATGGTCTCTGAACCAGATACACAACCTGCCGAAGCAACAGATACAGGAACGACGATGTCTAGACAACATGGAAGCAAAAGAGTTAAGGCGGTCAAAATGCAATCAATGTTGATTTGCCAGTTTGTGTCCAAAGCACTGAATTCATCTAGTCCCACAAAAAAAAAAATCACTCCACTATTTCTGTTGCACCCTCCAGTGCTGCTTAGCGAACATGGTTTCTAAGCCCCCCCGCACAGTTGTTTTGTTATCGCGTAACACCGCCCCTCCCTCTTCTCGTCCCACTCATCACCTTTTCTCGTGCCTTCGAGACATTTTTGCCAGGACAAGGACCAGTCCATTGATGGCGGGAAAAAAAGCGTTCAGAAAGTTCAATATTTTATGTGGTAAATGGCTCCAGCACTGGCACCTTTTCTGAGGGGAAAAAATGCAAGAAAGGGGCACAAACCACAATACTGAACCTATAATGTCTTATGTAGGCCTAATCACTGTTTAAATCCTGCATTTGTGCCTGTTGCCTCTATAGAATTAAAGCCTTCAACAGATGGCTAAGATGCAAGTTCCCATGCAAGTTGTCCTTTTTGTTTTTTGGCCATTCCGAGGACAAAAATTACCTTGAATGGCGCATGAGGCAGTCGTGCCATCAAGTGAACATGCAGTCCACTGTTTTCTCAGGGTTGAATCAAAACCAGCGTTGATGCTGAAGTCGTCGTTGGTGAACTAACTGAATAATTTAATCTTTGTCTGGGTGGCCAGGCCTCAGTACAGTTAGCTGGGTGGTGTTTGGTACTGGATCCTCCTGGCTTTGACCCAGAATCTCCTCTCTCTCTGTTTCCATCTCTGATTAGATGCCTTGTAAAGGGACAGACTGAAATGATGAATGTCTGTTCGTAGACGTAGAGAGATTTACTCTAGATTGTCTGAATATACTGTAACTGTGACTCCAGGCGTCTCTGAAAAACCCTCGAAGGTTTGTTTGTGTTTTATACGCCAACTTGACCTATTTAGGAGTTTTTAAAAAAAGGCATTTTAAATTTCTTGAAAGAACAATGTAGACAAGAAAAAGCTACTGGAGCGACTGTATTCTTTAGGGGGCCAATTCTTTTTAGAGGACAATTCCCAGGCACTGTTTGAATCTGTATTTCTAATCCAAATCACCCCATGCTTTCTTGTGACTGTTCACATTCTCTTCCCAAATTAAGCGCCTGTGAGCGTCTATTTGCTTCTAGTTCTGGCTTTGTACATACTGTAATCTGTTGCCGTGTAAATAATAGTCAGGTTTATCTCCGTATATGTAAATGGTTGTAGAAATGGATTATTTTGTTTTTCAAATCACTGCTTTTCCAATGAAGATTACCTTTTTTTTTGATTAGGATGTGTTGTCTTATTGTTTTCATCACCTTCTTGAAATTCATTCCTGTGCCAAGTCTCATGCCACTCTAACCCTATCAATAAAATACACTTTTCTAATGAAAGTAGACCATCTTTTTATTAATTTGACCTCGAGTATTTTGCCTCTTCATGATTAACATTGGCCCAAAAAAATGCGAGAAGATATGTTACAAAATGAACAATTGTTTTGTATTTCTACATTAAATGTACACTTCAACTAAACATTTTTTTGACATATTTTATATTATAAGTTGGCAGTCATATACAAGGTGTAATATGATTTAAATGAATGTTATTTCATATAACATACATGTGAGGTGCTTTTATTGAGTGTGAACTAGATCCTTTCTGAAATCTTTCTTTAAATACAAATATTTGTCTTTGTATTGTACACACAAAGTAAGTTTAAGTAAGTTAAGCATGTTTCCTAGCCTACTTAACATTAATACTACTTCATAAAACTGAAGGACAACTGAGCAACTCCATTTGCTGAGGAAGGCCAGGAGTAAGTTCAGCTCAGATCCTTTTTGTCAAATAAAACATGCTGGTTTTAGCTCATGTTAGGAAACACTGGCTGGTATTCTCCTTTTAGACCGGCCAAAATCCTTTTTGTTATTAATTAAAGGTCTTCTACCAAATATTATCGTCAACACCACTATATTAAAGGCTCTAGTGGGGATTTTGACAGACTACATTCACAAAAATAAAGCTTCGCTCGGGGATTTACGTGAAACCGGAAGTAGGCTGCAGCGAATCATCTCAATTCAGTCGACGCACCACACCCACTGAACGGCTCACTACTACATGATGAAACATGTATACAAGTAACTGTCACTCTGTACCAGACAGGCCCGTTATAACCCAGCTCTTATGATTACAGTTTTAAAGCCCGTTGCTAAATTATAGAGCAATACTTAAAAGCTAATTTAGCGATATTTGTTCAGCAATTTACATTCAGGCTTCTGACGCGACACCTAAAGGGTCCTTCCCCGTGACAGCAACAGTTATATCAAAACATGCGTCTGCTAAACTGTTTGAAAGTTGAAACCACTGTGCATTAATGTGATGATTTATGTCACGTTACGTTGTTTGACGCAGTTACAACTTTCCTGTTCTAACTTTTTGGTAAATGCTTCAACCTGATTGACTGTTTTTACAGCCGCGTGCAAAATGAGCTCTGGTAAGTGTCCCAATTAGGGTTTATTTGTCCTTCACGAGCGACACCCAGTGCCCTATAACCACAGTTAATATTTCATGTGTTTGTATTATTGTTTGTATTGGGACTCACTGTACAGCTGAGTGATGAAATACAGTAGAATGTGAAGTAGAGTGGGCTCTACTGTCAGTTATTTTCCTTCAATGATAAGGTCAGCCCACAAAGTAAAGAACATATGCACCATGCAATGAATAATAGACACTACGTGTACTTTTAATTAGCTATAGGTTGATATTTAGTATTATTTTACAGTATCATAAGTTATGCATACTTAAGTACTGCACCTAAGGACAATTTTGAAGTACTTGTACTTGAATATTTCCATGTTCTGTTCTATACCAGTATTTTTACTGCAAAATAAGTACATTCATATTTTGGTGCAAATACTTTTGTACTGTTATTTAAGTAAAATTTTGAATGCAGGATTTTTACTTACGGTCTGAATATTTCTTCCGATGCCTATGATTAGAAAATTAATAAACTACTATGTTGATAATTTTAGCTTTTGAACCATTTTCTGTTTCCAGCTTCTCAAAATGTGCAGTTTTGGTGCTTTTTTGTGTTGTGTGTAAAATAGTAAACTGAATATCTTTGAGTTTTAGACAAAACAGGCAATTTAAATACATCACTACTGGCATTTTATAACGGTTTATGGCCAAAAACAATTGATTAATCAAGAAAATGATCAGCAGATCAATCGATGATGTTAATAACTGTAAATGTTGACCACACTGCCACACTGTACTTGTTTTAACCACACTCTCTGTTGCCCACTCAGAGGTTTGCCCATTCTGCGGGAAAACGTACAAAAGGTTGAAGAGTCACCTGCCGCATTGCAAAGCAGCAGCGAGCTCCAAAACGCCTCCAACGATACACGATGTCACGGGGAATCAGACGTCGCCGTCTTCTCAGCTGCTCGCAGCCTTCAGCGAACTAACGGCAAAGTCCACACAGACGTTGTCGGTAACATCAAGTCCACCATCGAAGAAGAAGTCTGTGGTATCAGCAGCAGCAACACAGTCGTCGTCCCTGGATTCTGCTTCACTTCCACCATCAACGAAGAAGACGAAACAGAAGCTGTCCGAACTAATCAAGACAGCCGTCGTTCCCTCCTCTGTCACCGTTTCCCTCACCTCCTCCCCATCGCTGCATCCGTCTCCCTCCATCTCTAAGCCCAAAAAGCAGAGTCTCCGTGCTTTGATAGAAGCTGCAAAGTCCGAACAGGTTTCTAAGGGATCACTGGAGGGAACCAGGTCCACCTCAGACGACCTGCCTTCAGGTTCAGCTCCATTTGTGGCAGATCCTCCAAGCTCCAGGACCACAGCTGGGACCAGAACTGATCCAGACTCGGTAAAAGATGACGCCCTCCCTGCCTTTCTGTCCACAGACGCCAAACCCAAAGCTGCCTCCAAAAAGAAGGCGTCAAAGACGAAGAAGGCTGCACAATCCCTTCCCACAACCACAGATACCTCTAGCTCGCTTGACTGCAAAGTCCATGAAAGTAGTGCGAGAGACAACTTCTGGGTGGAGGACGACGGGGAAGCTGTGAATAAGATGTTCTTGAAATCAGGAAGCAGCCACCGGGCCCGGATTACCCTCCAGGATGTTAAAGCCACGTTAGGCCGAGCGAACGCCCCCCGTCAGTCCGGCAGGCCGAGCATCCTGAGCCAGATGGAAACTACTGACGAACTAAGCAGCAAAATCAGTCTGATGTCCAAGCAAGCATCCGTAATCCCTCTGCACCAGCCTGAACTAACCCCCCCTGCAGCTCCGCTCCTTCCTGGCCAGCTATCATCTCAGGTGAGCAAAGCCTCGCCTCGTCTACGCACCGTCGGCGTGAACGACGGGCTGAAGGTGACCGGACTCCTCACAATATCACCGTCACTCGCTAAGTTCTCCAGCCCTCTGCCGGCAGCGAGGGGGGAGACAATGAGAGCCGGTGATGGGTTGAAGTCGCAGCCCGAGGTCAGGGAACAAAACACTGCTGATAAAGGAACTACAGGTCAGTATTTGATGGTAAAAAACCTCAAAACATTTCTTTGTACGGACTGAAATGTGTCGTTGGTGCCAGATTCTTAGTGTTGTTTACTTAATAAAAAAGAGGATGTGTTTTGAGTGTGTATTTATCTGTGTCGCTGGTTCTTCATGGGTGTTAATAATTATAGGTGCTCTGACACAGCGGTGTCTTGGACAGGTGAGACTGAGGGAGCTGCCCGAGTGGCTGGCCTGCAAAACACCCAACCGCCCAAGAGATGTGGTAGAAATGGTGCAAAAAGGTGAACAACACACTCATCTCTCACACACATACAAATACGTGTAACTCAGAAAACACACCACGAGGCCCAATGTTTGTGTAAGCTAACCGGCTAACATCTAATTCTCGGCAGAAAATGAAATGTTGAACTATTCCTTTTTAATATTTAGTCATGTAGGAAGTTTAACGTGTGTATTCAATCCCCTCTTCTGTGCTTCCACCAGGCTGGCAGTGGTATTACAAGAGGTATATTGATGTGAAGAAAGGTGGTGCAGGTGGACTGGGCATGTTGTTAGCAGGATACTGTGTGCTCAGCTACATCTGGAGTTACCCTCACATCAGTAAGTGTGTGGATTACTCTCATGTTTGCTCCATGGTGTGAGCTACCGAGATAACTGAGCATGTCTGTGGTTGTTTTTTTTTGTTTTTTTTCCAGAGCGTGATCGCTGGAGGAAGTACCATTAATGTCAAGGGAAGTTGTCCGGACAAGTGTGACTGTGTATGAGGAAACAGCAGCTGTGACAGAGGGAGGCTTCAGCCCTTAAAGGCGTCTATTCTCTTCATACAATATATAATGAATCCAAACATTTCCACACGATTTGTTGATACTTGTCAACATGGTAGCTCTCACTGTCAGACCCACTCTTGTTTTCTTCTACAACCTTAATATGAAGCTGCAGCTAGCAGCTGGTTAGCTTAGCATAAAGACTGGAAACAGCTAGCCTTGCCCTGTTAAATTGTAACAAAATCCATCTACCAGCATGTTTGTTAAGCACTTTATCTCTTATTTGTTTATTCCATACAAAAAGTAGGCTTTTAGACAAGCTTGTTTCCCGTCTTTATGCTAAGCTAAGTTAGGCTGTAGCTTTATATTATGGACAGATATGAGAGTATGGTATCTATCATCTTAACTCTTCACCAGAAAGTGAATAAGAAATGTTCCCACAATGTTGAACTATTCCTTTAACGAGTTTCACTCTCAACTGATTTGCACCTGCAGGGGACATCTGTGGACACTGCACTGTGGCTTGTATAAATTACATTTTTATTATTATTTATTCACTTATCTATGTTTATCTCAGATGTTAACCAAGTTAGCTTTGTATCTTATTTCAGTTTGAGAAGGTACAATGTCCAGAACAGAACAGAACTAGTTTCTATTGGGCTCATCAGTGGCCCGCTACATGATTCCCCACTAGGTGTCACTGTTGTGTTACCAAAACTAAATGGGCTGTGCAGTCAAATGTTTTCTATGCACAGTTTTCTTAGCCCCTTTGTGCAGAGGCTTTGGTGCCGGGGTCAATGAGAGGATTAAAGGGAACCAAGAGATGTTTTAACTTGATTAAAAGCTTTACTCTGGCAGCCCAGATGTAGAGGAACATGGAAATGTAAATATCCTAACGTCAGTATCCGTCAGAAGATCGTATCTGTGTAGCAGAGGGATTCAAATCTGTTTTTCTTTTTTGCAAATGCTTCCCCTGTCACATGATGTTATTGTGCATGCTCAGTCCGTCGGTGCCAGTAAGTGAACACTCACAGAATAGTAATGGAGGGCCACTGAAGGAGGTTCTCGTCTGGACTGGACCAGTTTATCGTATTCAAAATGAATTTATTGTTGACTCTCCTTGCTGCTGTAGTGAACACACATTAGCTACAAATGAAGAAATTACATTATTTTTTTTGTAACAGGTTTTCTTGATGCCTCTTCTTAGCCAACACAATAAAAAATAATTTCCATTTCCTTGTTTTTTTTACATTCTTTTTTTTTTTCTCCATACAAAAATTATAAATATTTTGTGTTTCACTTTTCATTTTTGTACAAAACAACAAACTACACAAATCAAGAGTGAAAATGGAGGCAGAAAAAACATTTCTGAACTGAAGACGGGGGAGAAAAAGCACAGGATGTTCCTGCCCTCACACACTGATATGCATCCGGACAACACGACGTGTCCCCAGCACTCAACACTGCCCTACTTTGTGCAACTCCTAAACTGACTTTCTCGTGGATTTAAGTGCTATAGAGGCACAGCGTCTTGCAGCAACAACTTGAAGGAGCAAATAAAAGAACTCTCATGACCCTTACATGTCAGAGTGTACTGGAAGATATAAGAGGTCTAGATGGGTTGAGGCAGAGATACAGGCGGGCTGAGATGGCCACTGGCATTAAAAGAAAAGAAAAAAAGACAAGATGTGTTCTCCATCAACCCATGTAAAAGGCCTTCAGTCTGCTCCTGTCGCCTATTGGCGAACATATTTCACAGACACGATTGTAGGAGAAAGGTGACACGATCCAGAATCAACCTGAGAACATTGAACACATTTATCCTAAGCTTTGGTCCTGTGCTGGTTTTGGCAAAAAAATGCCCCTTTCTTGCTTAAAACCATAGTGCAGATTTCTGTAGATTTGCAAAAAGGCCCTACAAGGAACCGAATTACATGTCCAATATTTCGGATTAATTCTTTATCATGATGAAATATCACAGTAAGTTACGTTTGTGCTATTGAAACTAAATGAAAACTCTTCACAGTGGGAGCTTTCGGGGCACAGCTTCAGAGGAGACACTACAGAGCTGTTTTAACAAAGCACAAAGACTTGAGATCGAAAGATCTGACGGTGATTCTGGACGAGGCCACGCTCTCTCCTAGTTTGAGTTTTGGTTGCGCTGCTGAGTGGGAAGAGAAAGAGAGAGAGAAATGTGGGAAACGCTTGAAAAGAAACAGAATGAAAGTGAGAAAAACATCCCGGGGGGACTGAGCGAACTCTTGGGAATGAAGTCAGAAGTTTGGCAACCAAACAACAGGACGAGATGGGAACACAGTCACAGCCCAGTGTGTGTGTGTGTGTGTGTGCAGACTAACACACACACACACACACACTGATCGACATGTCACGATTGCTGGATATGATCGATATGCAGAAGGCAGACCAACGTACCTACAATCAATAACAATGTTGTCTTATTCACAAAGCCGGGGAACACATCACAACAAACAAAATCAGTCATCTTTTTTAATGTCATTTCTAAAAAAAAAAAAAAAAAAATGAAATAAAAATTCAAAAAAAAGTAAAACATACTGGAACATAACTTCCTCAATCTGAGGACTAAGCTCCCCTTGACACAAACACACGGTGAAATGATAGAAAGTGGTTGAGATCGAGTATCTGTCCCTGTGTCTGTGTCGGGGCTCGCATACCTTTAAGGTACAAAAGAAAAAATGCCAAAGAAAATGTGACTTGAGCACAAGAAAAAAAGCATTGCTGAGTACAGTAACACTACTATATATACGTCTGTGTGACTAGTTTGATGGGTCGCTAGTGTGATTAAGAGGTCCGCCTTGTTGCAGGTGGCTGAAAGCAGGCGAATAGATTTTGGTTCTGTTCCAAATATTCACATTGTGTTTAGCCTAGCGAGAGCCACGTATTCATATAGTTCCTGAAATAAGCAACAGTACGTTTAGTGCAATTCGTCAATGTGAATGTGTCTCCACTGAGCTGACCTTAAAGGAACTCTACACCTCCGAACCATGAGTCTACGTAACATGTACTAAAGCATGTGTGTGTGTGTGTGTGTGTGCATGTTTGTAATGCAGGAAGAAACCGAGTCGTTGGATACTGTTGAATAAAGCTCCTTCATGTAAACACTTCAAAATAAAAACCTTAATTTAGGCACAGATTTGTCATTTTTGTCCCGTCCTCCTCGTCCCTGTTTTTCAGCATCGGTAAAAAGGGAAATCAACTGGCACAGGAGATTAATGGTGCGTTTTTGAAGAGAGGGACTCTTATATTCAAGCTATTAAAAATTGCAGACCCTTCCCGTTTAAAATAATGTTAAAGTAAACAAAAACAAGAACTTATTCCATCTGTGAGCACATCGCATTGCACACATTCCCGGATCTTTATAGGTAATCTTGAGTGGCTGCATTCACCTGGAGTCTCTGACTCCTACTTCATACCTAAAATAAAAACTGAATACATGCTACATGGCCGGAGATGGTGTCACAAAGATAATAGACCTGAAAGAAGAGTTAACCTCTCTTCACACAGGGAATGGGGGGGGGGGGATACAACAAATATTACGACGGGGGAGTTTGACAAAAACAAAACGTTCACACGCACACAAAAGAAGTCAAAACGAGGGATGATATCAGTCTTAACATTCCAAGATGCTGTTGACTGCCGCCTCTAGAGCAGAGTCTGTGTCCCCATGAGGGGGTGAGGTGAGCTGAGCGGGGTACTGGGGCGGGATCGGGTGGTGAGAGACCTGGTGGTTGGTCTGTCCTCTTGCTGCAAAGGTTGAGAGGCTACCTTGGGGGTGACTGTTGGCAGCGAGGGGGCTGTTGTTGCTGTCGTTGCTTGGCCCGTAGTGTTGCTGGGATCTCTTCAGTTCCAGGACGCTCTTGTTTTCTAAGAGCGGAGGGTGGAGTCTTTCTGCGGCACCTGGTCCTACAGCTCCACCCCCTCCCGGGTCTCCATACCCGGGCTGGGAGTCTGTCCTGTACGGCGGCTCCGCAGAGCCTCTGTCCGACTGATTCCAGCTACAGCTGGACGACGACTGAGAGGGGGCGGGATCTTGGGAAAGTTTGGATTTCATCCCGCAGCAGAAGTCTTCGAAGAAGGTGTCTGTAAAACAGAAGAAGAGTTAAACAGAACCTCTCTGTGGGAAAAACTTCTGCTTTATTCTTGCTTCTTCTTCTTTTACCTGGATCCACTAGTATCATGCGTTTGTCTTGTGTCAGGTTGCTGCGCTCCTCTTGGTTGAAGGTCCTGTCAATCATCACCATTTCTGATGACGGACTGGAACGCTGCAGGGCAGTGAGAGGGAACCCGTTAGCCCTTTGTGTGTCATAACATGAGACACCTGTGTGCTCCAGTATTTGCTCATGTGTGTGTCTACCTCAGCTTCCACCATTAGCAGCCGTCTGTATTTGTTCACCATGACATGGGTCCTCATCAGCACTTGGGTTGCAACCACCTCAAATTCGTCATCCACTATCACAAAAAAAAAACTCTTTAGATGCAGCTACTTAAATTCTGCAAATACATGCATAACCACACTAAACCTCTGGGCTGTAGTTTCCAGCAGATTTACAGGTAAAGCTATTAAACTCTGTACCCTGTGAGAACTCCTCCTGGCTGGGTGGAGCCCCCTGGAACACGTGGTACGGGAGGAGTCTCTGCAGGGCGTCGTCGATTGAATTGAATCGACGCGGATCTAGGGTCTGAACTCCAGCATGATCCTTCCTCAACTGTAGTAAAATCCTGTAGAGATGAAAAAGACAAGCTCCTTCAATGGCTGAATGACGAACTCATAAAACAACATTTGACGGATGCAAAAAAAGCAAAATAATACACAGAAAGTCAAAAGAACTCACATTTCTCCTCTTGTAAGTGGCGGAAGGGCAGGTCTCTTCTGAGCACTGACCTATGAAGAGAAAATGTACATAATAAAGCCATCGCTATCAGCATATTCCACCTTACATATACAGCATATACATGAGTGCAAAACAAATAGGGTGCAGGATGAGTTACCTGAGAGTTGAGCTTTGAATCTTGAGTCATGGTTGTCATGGCTAAAAGAGATCAAACAAACAAGTCAGTCATTAAGTGCTGCAGACGACATTTAAATACATCATACGTTGACAAATATGATCGGCCCTTAATACCATGTATGCTGCTGAGCTGCGCCTGTGTCAGGGCAGGAGATGAAGAATTCTGAAAAAGTTTAAGTGAAAGTGATGTCAGTCAGACAGAAAGTTTTCAGGGAAGAGAATACAAGTGAAACACCATCGGGGACGTTAGGCTATACCTGTCTGTAGTCTTGCTCCTGCGTCACAGTACCAGCTAAAGGGGACAGAGAAGTGCAATTCTGAGTTTGAGTCACTAGGAGGCGCTGAACGGGGCTAGCCGACACTTGGCCTTGACCGCCGATCCCCGCCGTCGCTGGGCCCACCAGAGTCAGGCGGCCGGGAGCGCACGACGTCTGAATGGGGGCGGGGTTCGCACAAGAAACTCCAGTCCATGTTTGAGTGACAGCCCCTCCGACCTGACTCCTGCTGACTACTCCCTGATTCAAAATGAGCTGGCCTCCCTGCGGCGCAGTGAAGTTCTGCCCTGCAACGAGCTGCACCGCGTTCTGACTGGTGATCAGGGCGTTGGAGTTGGGGTCAGCGGGGCCGTTGTGGAGCAAGAACTGTCCCGGTGGTATATTTGTCTGGGCATGTGCTTGTTGCTGCTCGACTATGGAGCCATTGGCTGTGTACTGTCCCCCGGGGGAAGCGGTGTTAGCGTTAACTACATTAGCCATGGTGGTGGCAGTGGGCTGGAGACCGAGGCTGTAGACAGTCTGAGCCCCGGGTTGGAGGGGTTTGGGCTGGATAGGTCTGACGAGAGTCTGGGTCCCTCCCGGGCCTCTCTGGATGATGATGTTTTGAAGGGGGATGTTTTTGAAAGGTAAGCCCACTTGGCCTAGCTGCCCTTGGGTCGGAGCAAACACTTGCCCCCCTGTTGCGGCTACAGGCGCCCCCGGCCTCAGCACAAGCTGAGGGGTTCTCTCCAAGCTGCTGAGAGTCATCACACCAGCACCCGCCCCGAAGGACCCCAACACCTGGATGTGCTGGGCGGAGCCGTTGGGCAGCTGGGAGACCCCTTGCAGGAACTGGCCCGTGGGGAACGCAGCTGTCGCAGTGGTTACCACACCCACACCCCCCCCATAACCCCCAGAGACCAGCTGGGAGGGGAAGGGGACGGGAGCCTGCACCAGAGTGGGAGCGGGCTGGGAGTCCAGCAAGGCCTCCTGGGCCAATGTCTGCTCCGTGATGTCGGCCTCCATGAGAGACTTCTGTAGGATGTCAAAGGGCTGGTCCTCTCCCCCGAGATCCACCCCTCCGGGGGAGTCCCCGGACCCCAAATCATCCTCGATAAATGAAAGGCTGCTGGAGAGCTGGAGGCCGGCCCCTGTTGAATCGTCGCCGAATTCCCCCATTGTAGAAGAGCCATCCTTGAGGCCAGAGTTTGAGCCGACCTGAATGAGGCATTTAGAGGAAATGAGCAGGAAGTGGGAAACTGTTTGCATGTGCACTGCATATATATTCCTCGTAGGTCTCTTTATAGCCTGTGCAAAAGAAGCAAACTATTCCCCTAAACTTTGTATAATATCATTTTCATCATGTACTTTGTGTGCAAAGTGTGTTGTTGGATCAAAGGAACAATCACGCTCACCGTGTCACTAGAAAAGAAGGATGCATCCGACCCAAAAGCTGCGTTATTCACATCGTCCTCCTCAATCTGCAGAAAAACAAAACAGAGTTTTAACAGAGAATCAGCAGATGCCTAACGCATTGAAGTGAAGTAACTACTCAGACAAACTTGGCAGAGAATGACTGTGAATACACTCTGAAAGAGTCACTCACAGACTTGCTGTTGCTGCCATGGAGATAGTCATTCAACGCATCCACATCTCTGAAAAGGGGTAAAGAAGAGATTTTAACATAACATGAATGTCTTTTCACTTGTGTGTGAGTTGAAAAAAAGACTCTAGTGAATGGGACAATATATATATATATATATATAATGAAAAGTTCACAGGTTCTCATGGCTTTGATTTGAAAGAGGAACTGTGGTTAAATAACTATTTATCAATTAAAACGAATGGACAAATGCAAAATAATATGTGGCAACACAAGAGTTGCTGGTTGAAGACAAATGTAGGTGCATGCATTCATAAAGTGACGATATGTCCGTAGTGTAAAGAAAGTTTTATAGTTATTTTTACCCTAAAATATCCAGAAGATGACGATCATCCTCATCATCCATGACACCTGAAAGAGTATGGGGGGGGGCAGAATTCAGCAGGTGAGGAGATGGCTGCTGTGGTTCATTGGCTTCATTAATCATGACAATAAACCTCAATGAATCACTTGTTTTTATTCTGAAGTAGCAGAGTATGAGCTGTAAATGATTAGTAGTAGTAGTCAGGGCGTCTCACTCACAGATTTTCCAGCAGGAAGCATGGGTTCAGTCATTTAACACCCTTTGTTTCCTGGGCTGCAGGGTGAGAAACTGCATTTAGTAATATTACATAATTAAAACTGTGTGACAGGCAGGGTTGTGTGGGAGTGTTTAGGATGTGAGATAAAGAAAGAGATGGGTGTGTGGAGAGGAGGAAGGGGGACAGATACAGTGTGTTATTCAGTGCGGTGGGAGATCTGTATGTAAGTGAAGGGCAGGATGGCCTTCATCCCCTCCTACAGACAAACTCCCACCCATTACACTCCTCTGCTGTCACACATTGGTTGTCTACACAGACTGAAAATGGCCATTAGAGTGTAAATAACTCCACCCTGCTGCATTTGTGCCACGGTTTGTTTGAGTTTCTACATTGAACAAGGTGTTGGCTTTATGTTGTGTCAGCCAGCAAAGGTATGCAGCTACATTGATGCTACATTATACAAAGAGGGGACAAAACCCGTTCACTCATTTGATCCAGCAGAGAAATGGGGTAACGAGTGTTTGGATGTCTGTCCAATTATTTTTGTCTGTTTTAATGTAATTTGTTGTGTTTGAGCAATGTGGAGAACACAGGGGATGTATATCAATTCCTGTAGTCATTAATCCAGCATTTAAATAAGTGGTGTTTGATTGGTAGGTTCTGTTGTACTTTGAAGACGTCGTGGGGAAATGCAGGCTGTGTTCCTGAGTAAGACATTACAGCTGCAATGCTACAAAATGGCTGTTACCCTGCCATAGGCTGTCTTTACACCAGAGCCACGTTCAGCGTCCATCTTTGGTTTCAGAGAGAACAAAGAACGACATGGCTTCAGGACAAAATAGGCTCTGTAAACTAACCACACTACGATTTAAACGTGCCAAGAAACCTGCCAAACGGTCGTTTTATTACAGGATATTGTCGTTTATTTAATAGCCACACTGAATGGACTTCCTTTTCTCGTAAAATTAGATGACTATGCTACCAAAGGCAGTGAGGCGCTTTAGTACCGCAAACATTAGAAACAATGCAACGAAATGTGAGAGGAAGCAACGTCGACCTTTCCAAACTATTAACTGTTATTGTATTTCACGCAAAAATGCTATGTATGTAAGCTATGCTATATATGTGGACTGTTTATGTAAAATGCGACTAATAGTCTGTTCTCTAAAATAATCCAAGTGTCATCCCAACAAGTTACGAATGTTACTAAAATTCAAACGTTGGTTACATTTCCATAAAGACGACAGGGCTTAAGTGCCTATGCCGACAGAAAAAAAAAATGGCGTTTAAAGTAGCTCCAAAACACTGGATTTGAAGATTCATCGCCCATTTGTGTTCGGGGTTGTCAAAATTCAGACACCCTTCCCGTTCAATTTTAACAGTTTAAGTTTTAGCTCAAAGTCCGCCCTAGCATGCGTGCTTCGACGCAGACCAAGCTACGGTTAGTCTCCGCCGTAGTCCCGCTACTGGTGCCGTTTGGTTTAAGTAAACCAGCTAATGTACAGCTCCTAAGTTTTAATATCCCAAAATAGACTGAACGGACAGTATGATAATCGCATTGAAGCAGCACAAAAACGCCCGGCAGGTCGTCGCTGACGTGCTCCTTCTTTCTCTGTTGGGGAGGCTTTCATTTGTCCTCCATGGGGCTCAACTGCCAGCATGAAAACACGTCACATTTAGTATATCGATACAACGGAACCGGACGCGTTTCAATCGGGGGGTTCTGTCGCAGCTCCGTATTTCTGGTCGGGTAGCTCCACGAAGCCTGGACGCTCCGCAACAATTTTGTTTTTACCGATAAACAACCGGCCTGTTCTGGTTAGCTAGCCGCGGTGTCGACGACGCCTATTTTGGAAAACGACGGGTGGATTTCATCGAAAGTGCCAGAGGACTAAACCCGTGTCGAGCCATACATAGTTATCCCGATTAGCACAACATAAAGACGACTCAAAGAGGCAAACCCTTTACTCCTGTCTCACTCCTCTTGAAACCCAATATCTCCATTTGGCAACTTTTAATTTGCTCCCCCCCTCCTTCTCCTCCTCCTCCTTCTCCCTCTCCCACTCATATATTTTTTCTCACTGTCCCTGTTCTGTCTCGGATAGATTTTTCTCTCCGCTCAAAACTCTCTTCCCTCCCTGAAGGAAGGGAGGAAGGAGGTTGTGTGTGTTTTTTCCTTGAAATTTTTATCACAAAATTATAATACACTCAAAGGGAAACTCACCGTCATGAAAAAGCAGTGCCTTGTCAACGGGGTTTCCTCGCCATCACCGCACGGGTTGTTGGGGTAGTGCACAGAACAAGGCGACCCAAATCATCAGTCCACAGCGGTAGCATCCGAGTCGCTAAATATTAATAAGAGTTATAGAAACAAACACAAGTCATTGTTAAAGGCATATTTTTTTTACGTTAATTTCGTTCATAATAAGATGTTTCTTTGCCCTAATGAATAGCAGATAAATGTTATTAGACCTAATCATTATCAACGGTAGAGGGCGGGCCTCTGGTGTATGCCACACCTTGACGTTTCCTCAGGTATGATTATAGTTACTGTATTTAGTTACCTAGTGATCCACATATATTGTACTCGGACATAATTAAAGTTTAATGCATCCCACTCACATTAGCATACTTTTTTTATTGTATTAATATATTTTGTATATTCCTCCCAGTGGTATGCCACCACACACTGTATATAAATATCCCAATATTGTAAATAAATATGAAATGTGACAATTTAATACTGTAATAAATAAAATTGCAGGTTCAAACTAGAATAAAAAAGAGAGAGCTTATAAAGTGTATTGAGTGCATGTCAAGGATGAAGGGAAAAGTTGATTTTATATTTTTTTGTGAGGGCGGGCAGGTTCAGGAATTTATTTTTATTTCATTTAAAACAACAAAATACGCATAACACACTTGTCCAGATGTACACAAAACCAGGAAAGAAAAACATTAAAAAACTAAATATATATCCATAAATAGCTTTGCACTTCACACAAAATATGTAAAAAAAAAACACTAAAAGTTAACATTAAAAGATCACAATAACAACAAAGACTGCAGTGCATCTGCTGTTACAGTAAATGTAAGTTGTGATGTATGTCTACTTGTTGCATGTATTACACAAAATAGAAATATTAGCTACATATTCTAAAATTTTAAATACAATCAGAGTATCTGGCATCATCTAATACACTGCTTGGATTCCACACACTCAAAATATTTAGATCCAGAAGAGCAATTAACTGTGCTGTACTTCATATAACACCTGTAAATATGCTGCTACCTGGTAATGTATGCACATAAACAAGCCTGCTTCAGCCTACTGACAATTTTGATGATTTAAAATATGTTATATTATAGGGAGTTGACAATGCATTTGATTGTACTTTTCTTTATATTAAGTGTAATTTAAGACAGGTGCCTCAACAATTACATTTAATTCTTTTTTTTTTTTTTACTTTGCGGGGTTGAAGGTAGCTTACTAAAATCTAAATATATTGTAGGTTTTGTTTGATTTTTAATAATAATTTACGATCACTGCCCAGATGGTTTACTTGCCATGACATTCTCGATACACTAGGTGGCGGTAAGCGCCTTTAAACTTGTCTCGCCATAGTCACGAAGAAGAAAGCGTGACGTATCACTTCCGCAACAACTGACAGTGCGACAACATGGATGCGACGCATGAAGTTAGCCGAAAACCCGCTGGGTTTGTGGGCGAAAGCGGTGCCGACAAGATCCAAGAGCGGCTTCAGAAGCGGCACCAGGCGAGGGCAGAGGATGCGGAGCGGAGGAAGGAAGCCAAAGAGAGCAAGTCTGTCGCGGAGGAAAAGGGCGAGTACTTCTCCAGCTCCTTCAACACCGAGCGGGCGTCCATCGAGGAGCTGCTGTCCAGCTGCTCCGGAGCCGACCGGGCCGTGGTGACTTCGCGGCTGGAGGAGGCGACGGCCAAAACGCTCCAGCTGCAGAAGTTTCTCAACGACAGCATGTTGTTTCTGACGCAGTACGAGCTGCGACGAGCCCAGGCCGCTCTGCAGAAGCTCCAGGCCTCCATCGTGGAGGTCAGAGAGGAGGCTCAGCCCAGGAAGAAGTTCACCTTTCGAGCTCGCACCAAAGCAACGGACAAAGTGTCCGATGCTCCTTCACCTGAGGCCGACACACCTGCAGATTCTGGTGGCAACAAAGTGGATGGAGCTGCAGTGTCTGTGCAGTGCAGGTTCTCCGACATGGACAATGTGTGTCTGACAAAGACGGCTGAGGAGATCCAGAAACGAGACGTGCTGTTGACTCACCTGTCTAACTGCAAGGTCCGCCTGTTCGGTTCCCCCAGCACGCTGCACCTGAAACACATCGACAGCTGTGAGATCCTGTGTGGACCCGTGTCCAGTTCAGTGTTCATTGACCACTGCACAAACAGCACTTTGGCCATCCCCTGCCAGCAGCTTCGTACCCACAACACCACCGACACGAGGGTGTACCTGCACGTCACCAGCCGAGCCATCATAGAGGACTGCCATGGGGTGAGCTTCGCCCCGTTCACCTGGTCTTATCCCACACTGGAGGAGGACTTTGACATGTCTGGTTTAGACCGGGACCGAAACAACTGGAGCCAGGTGGATGACTTCAACTGGCTCGCTGCAGGAACACATTCCCCCAACTGGACCGTCATTCCAGAAGCGGACAGGAAAACCACCTGGGACCCCTAGAATAAACTTTTAGAACCTTGTTATTTTGCTCAGTAACATGTCAGTCAAACCATCATATGTAACGTTGTTCGGCCTTAATACAGATAATACAAATAAGGGTTTTCATGTCATTTCACAAAGATCAGTTGCTGATCAGTTTATTTATGCTGCTGATGTCTGTTAAAGTTGCACTAAGATATACAAATATCCATACAAGATTAAACTGTGCTTTGGAGTACTGAAGGCTTGTTTTCTTCTGCGTGACAAACAAAAGCTAAAGAGCAAAATGCAGAACTCTTAAGAATAGCAGTAAAAGAAGACTTGAATCTCTAACATTCGATTTAAAGGTGCAGCCTGTGGGATTCTGCATCATCTAGTGACGAGGTTGCATATTGCAACCAACTGAAACTCCTCCCATGTGCCAAGTGTGTAAGAGAACTACGATGTGTTTGGTTTGTCCCTTCTGGGCTCCTGTAGAAACATGGCGGCCAGCTCTGTGAAGAGAACCCGCTCCGTTTGTAGGTACAAATGGCTCAATTTAGGATAACAAAAAGACAACTATTCTTATTTTCAGGTGAGGATACACTGAAGAAAACATACTTAATATTAAATTATAATTAATACTTTTAATTCATGATTAGTGTTACATTCCATTTCTCCAAATAGATCCCCCTAAATGCTACACACTGCCTATAATGCCTATTTCTGTGGTCAAATATGAGATATTTTTGCAGGATTTCTGGTAAAGCCCATCCGATATTAGTTTGTTGCTTTTATTTATATATATATCTATCTATATCTCTATCTATATATATATCTCTATATATATCTATATATATATATCTATATATATATATATATATATATAGATTTTTTTTCTGCCCTTTATTTCTATTGCGTTATACTGACGGGTGTTTCTATTATTGTGTCCACCCCATTTATATGAATGAGGACAGGCTACATATATAAAAACTCACCTTAAAAGTTGGCAGTACTCCAGCTTTTTTTTTATTTTCAAACTGTTCCCCTCCTGCTGATCCTTTCTTGCAGAGTTCCCCGTAGTGAATTGTCAATGAATGGTCTATTAGTGACTGTCGGGAACTCTGAACTATTAAAAGAAGGAAATGTGAGTCATTGTGAGTGTTACAAAGCACCTTTAAATGTAGAACTACTTTTCTGTTTCCTGTTCCCCGAGATCAAAACCCCTCAAATCCATCGTATAATAAATCTACAATATCATTAAAAGGACCACTCAAATAATCTTAGCGTAACAACTATGAAGCACTCTCACACAATGGTAGAGAATCGGTCTCCATTGAAGTGGATTTGTGCAAACTGACTTGAATAAAGAACAGATAATGATCCCTTTGCTGAAATGATGCCTTTATGCTACTGGCAACCAATGACCCTGAGTGGCACTTATACAGAGAGCAACGAAATCCACCTTTGTAGAATAAAAGGACATTTTAAGGTATTGAAATGTGACTCAAATAAAGTAAATACTTTACTTCAACCCCCTATATTGGCATTAATAGACAGTATATAAAGTTTCAGAAATGGTTTTTAACATCTAAATGTTAATTGATGTATTTGTAACTAACTCCTGTAGTCACTCATAAGTAGAGGCTGCTGTATAGACGGATAAAGAACTACAGTATTGTAAAACACAGTTGTAAAAGGAGACAAATAATATGAGTATTATTTCTTCATAAAACTATGGTGTGTTAAAACATTTATTAAAAGTTTATAATGCCCATAAATGCTAAAAATAATAATATTAGCTAGATAGAACAAATGTCTTAACAATTGTTTTAGATTTATTTGCAATTAAAAGTCAACATAAGACAAAAACAGAGCAAGCCTGTCACATGACATTTAGAAAACATAAGACGCAGTAACAGTGATGCAATGTAGCTATAAGCTGATTTAGCTCGTTTGTGAAGTGTTAACTGCAGACAAAGGTTGGTTCTTACAGTCTAAAGGCATCGTAGTGAAATGTACAAGAAAGAGGAAAGTGTTGACTGTAAGTAACTGAGGAACAAACAACATTATTTAAAACATATGAAAGAGGGAGCCATGCATTCAATACCAATACTAGAATAAGGCAGGAACAACAACTGCTCGGTGTCGATGTTGCAGCTCTCATGTCCGTCCACCGTGAGAGTTTGAAGCAGTCAGAGTAGAGGCCGTTCACTGACTTTACCAAGAATGAAACTGCCCAACACAGACATGATTCTAACTGCCAAGATAACAAGTGACAATAAGACAATCGTTTAAAGCACTTAAATGCATTTATTAGCTGGTAAGACGACATTTCCTACATCTATCTTATGTGCGTGTTTATTGACGTGTGAGCGTGTGTGTTATCCATCCGATGTGTCTCAGTGTTGTGCTTTTTTTGTGTAGTTCTAAATGATGAAGTGTGAGCCTGAAAGCTCTTTTGTTTCTGTGAGTGGGTTACTGGGGCTTGAGTCGCTCCACGGTGAACCTGTGAATGATTATGTTTCATATTTAGCTCCACTATCATTCCCATGTTCTTTGTCAAACTTCAGCTGATGCCATTAGAGCTCCTGGTGCGTTCGATCAAGGCGACCATGGCCACGTGAACGCTCAAACCAATTATGGCCCCTGGCAGCGGCTTACGATCAGGCTCATCTTGTGTAGAGGGATTTCTGCAAATTGGATCAGGCCGCTTACAGGGACTTAGCATGACGTACTGCAACTTTGAGTTTAATCATGAGGATCCTCGGCAATCCTCCGCCTCTCCTGGAGAACGGAACATCACGATTAGCCTCACCTGTGTGTTAAGGAAGACAAAAAACGGTACAAGTTTTGGGAAATAAAGCCGTTTGTAATTTTAAGTTTCTGTCACAATGGGAGAGGAGATAGTTTTCAAGAAATAACACTCCTGCGCTGCTCCCCGGGTCCTCCTGGGTTCTTTATCTCTGTTGTTCTTGCTGTGGGATGGATCACAGGCTGAGCTGACTCTCCTGTCCCGTTGGACCAGCCAGAGGAGACTCTGACAGCAAAGAGACCGGGAAACAGGAACATCTCGGAGCTCCTGCCGTTCTAGATTATCAGTCGGCTCATCTTCACGGGCGAACACAAATCTCAGGTTGAACAATGGCGTTGATGTTGATCAAGTTTGACCTGAAGAAGCGAGTGAAGCTCGCCCAGACGGTCTGGTTCATGTACTGGTTCGCTGTAATGGCCAGCGTGCTGGTCTTCAGCATGGGCCTGTTCTTTAAGATCGAGCTGCGGAAGCGCTCAGAACTTATGGACAACAACGAGAGCCACTTCCTGCCCAACCTGCTCATATTTATGGGTCTAGTGGCCTGCGGCATCAACGCCTTCGGAGGCAAAGTCTGCTACGACTCACTGGACCCGAGCAAGTTTGTAAAGTGGAAGCCCATGTTGAAGGGCTTTTTGTTTTGCTGCGTGGGGTTCAACGCCCTGCTGCTGGTGACGGCCCTGCTGTGTTTCTTAATGAGGATCCCTCTGCAGTTCACCCTGGCCGAGGGGCTGAAGAACGGCATGAGGTACTACAAGGACACGGACACGCCGGGACGCTGCTACATGAAGAGGACCCTGGACCTGATGCAGATAGAGTTTCGTTGCTGCGGAAATGACAACTACAGAGATTGGTTTGAGATTCAGTGGGTTAGCAACCGCTACCTGGACTTCAGCGCGAAGGAAGTCAAAGAGTAAGTGACAAGAAATCCAAACTAAATTCCTCTTAAAAACCTTATAGAGATTAATGTGTGAGATGGCGTGAAGAGGTTGTCGTTAAGGCGTTTCAAGGTGGAGGCCGATGAGGTGAGGTCCTTTAGGGGTTGTCTCTAAATTGTTTAAGTTCAGTGTAAGTGGATTTGAGGTGAAGGAAAGTCAGGGCAGGTGTATTATTCACTTTCCTCCACGAAGGATTATCGTCACAGAAAGGGTGACAGCCTCAGGGGCTGCAAGGGCGGAAGAGGTTACTATGCAGTTTTATGGATAAGGTCGAGGAGGAGGGACTTGAGGAGGTGATTAGGACCAGAAAAAGATACACAAGGTCAATAAGGCACGAGCAGGATTATAAGTGCATTGTTCCAGTCCAGTCATACGAGGCCTCTTTGTGACAACCTGCTCATATCCACACAACAAGTACCTGTTCATTTTGAGAGGACAATACGTGGAGAGGACCATTTTGAGCGTTGGCACGTAGGTCGTGTTTAATCTCAAGGATTACAGCGTCCATGTCCTTCAAGAATCAGTGTCCTGTCCAATCAGCAGAAGACCTGGCAACACGCCAGGGACGGCACTGCACAATAAAATAATTTGTACCTGGGATTTTAAAATGAGTGTAAACACTGGGTGTCTGATTACAATAATACTGGGCTGTAACGTATGGAGATGACTGGCGAAAACTCATGCGATGCCATTACAGGACAGTAGTCATGGAAAAGACCTTTATTTATGGCTCATTTTAAAGTTCCAAAGAGGCAAAGTTTTTTCAATCCTTCCTTAAATATCAGTACAGCCATCTTTCTAATTCATAACGTCGTGATTAGTATCCAGAACTTCTCCCACATAGTGTAGTATTTTACTGTTTGTTCTCTCGTATTGACCAACGTTATCTGGGACATTATTTTGGGTGATCAGGTGTTGTCGTTTCCAGAAATCACTGATCCATATCTGACCCTCTCCGGTTTTAGTAATCCAATCATACACGTCTTTCCATTGATCTACTACCATCAATCTATCACAGGTGACCTGATTTGGGTCAATCCCATTAAGTATAGTTGATTTCCCATGTATTGAGTTTGTGTGACCTGTAGGACCGTGTGATAGCGATGGATCAGTATTAATCAATGACGCCTGATTAATACTTCTTCAGAAACACAACAAAAAAAGAGAACAAATGAAGCACTAACACAATAAAATCAATACAAACCACTTCATCAGTCTGCAGTAATGCCACCTGTGTGAAGCTTAAAAGGTTTGATCTATGTTTAGCCTCTTTGAGAGAGCTGGGTAATTGTTTATTGTTGAGGAAACACTTGAAGAAACACTTTATTCCTTGAATTTGGTTCAATCTGATTGTATTTAGCAACTGAAAAGATGAAAAGCACAAACCTCGGCAACAATAAACATCAAACCTTACAGTTGTTTTAGCATAAGTCATAGTGATAGTTCAGGTACAAATATAGTTCCTGACCATTAATCCCGTCTCACTTTCACCTCCAACCCATCATAACGTGACATTAACGTGACACTCCGTCTCATCCTCTTAGCCGCATTGGGAGCAACGTGGACGGCCAGTATCTGATGGACGGAGTCCCGTTCAGCTGCTGCAACCCCAGCTCCCCCAGACCCTGCATCCAGCTCCAGATGACCAACAACTCTGCATACTACAGCTACGACCACCACACGGAGGAGCTCAACGTGTGGAAGCGCGGCTGCCGCTATGCCATGCTGTCCTACTACGGAGGCATGATGAACACCATCGGAATCCTGGTGGTGCTGGTCACGATGCTGGAGGTCAGGGCCAGAGATGCACCAACACAGATATTCACGCAAATGTGAAATCAGTTTCTACCTCACAACTGTTCAGTTTAAGAATAATGTTTACTCCATCATGTTAAATTTCAGTAGAATACATACACCATCACTCAGCGTTGTGGAGGAGATAATCCCACTGCACTTTAGAGGTGGGGAAGTTTATCATCCAACAAACCAATCATTTAGTCTTTTCTCTTGTAACTCGGAAAAAATACAGTTTAAAAACACTTTTTTAAAGCCTAAATTTTACATTTTTGTCAAGTTGTCAAAGTAAGTTTTGTAGTGCGGCGTCTTCTTCCCCTCGTTGTGGTGTGCCAAGCAAGGGAAACCCAAAGCGGGTGTTTTTATCCCCAACTGCCACAAGGGGCAACAATGAGCCCATTCTACCCTCAAAAACAAATGTCAGCAAGCGACACAAAGGTGTATGGAAGAGGATTAGGGCCTCGCAAGTAAAGAGTAAAGTTTATCTGAGATTATTCTACTGACTTTAAACTCAGAATTCTAAACTAAGAATTTAAAAAATATTTTATAGATATTATTATATGATCTATTACTACATTTTATATCCTATTTGCTTCATAGATATTATTTTTCTTTTTTTTTTAAATAGAGAATTCAGAGAATAAAGTCAGAATTTAGAGATTCATGTTTATAACTGTGTTTTATTTTACAAGAGAAAAGACTTAAAGGGTTAAGGCTAACTGGTTTGTTTGGCAAAAGTATGTCTGGTTAACGTCCTTACCTCTGTTAAAAAACACTTCCCTTTTCTATGAAACCATCCAGGACCGTCTCACACAGTGGAATAGACAAACGTGGCTCACTGTCCCTTTGCTATAAAATGTGACACTTAAATGGTATGTTTTAAGACAAATAGGAATACACTGCTTTTTTTTATGTGCTTTTTATATTTGAAAAAAGGTAAATTACTTTTTGAATATGCAAATATTTTCATAATAACATCAAAAGTTGGACTGCTGGACACATACATGCTGGATACTTACCAAAATAAAAGATGTATCAGTGTGTATGTGCTGGAGGTTTCCAGTTTCCTCATCACTCGTGTGTACGTCACATATTGGTCCAAGCTTCCAAACTGTTGCCATAAACTCCCATTTGTATTTGAGAGACATCTCTGTGGCCACTATCTTCAAAACCACCTCACATAAAAGCAATCTGGGCCGATAAACTACAGGTAAGAAAAAAAAATGTATTTTTGATTTCAGGGCGAACCGTTCTCTTAAACTCAGACTTAAAGTGACCTCAGAGAAACTTCCCTCCGCCAGTTGATGAAAGTGAACACAGCCTTCTAGTGTCAACCTTCTGCACAGTGAAGAAATAATAATTTAATGAGATCAATTGCTCAGCTATTGACCAATGAACCCAGGGACGGGTCAGTACAATTGTTCAGGAGTCAGGTGAGGACTTCGATGGCCTGGCATCAAGCGGTGAGGTGAAGAGCTCGTGCACAAAAATGCAAAGCCTTGACCCAGTTGGCACATCTCCTCCCTCCTTTCCTTTTCCCTCCTTTTCCCACTCCGCCCCCGCTATCATCTATATATTCCCAAACAACTCTATCCTTTTTTCCTACTGTCAGATATCCCTGCATGTACATACCTTCAGCATCTTACTTTCTGAACGCTCAAGCAGCCAAATGGCACCTCACTGCTTGTCAACTTTCCCCTGAGCCTCCACTGCCAACATCTGTTGTTGTTGTTGTTGTTGTTTAAGGTCCAAGAAGCTGAGCAGTGACAAACATGTACGGATAAATCCTTAAAGCCTGTGATCGTCAGTGTGTCCCTGTATCACCTCAAGCCGATATTATAGCGACACATAGATAACCCTCTGTCCCAGAAATTCAGCAGACTAACCCTTACCCTAAAAACCTTTTAGATTTATAAGGCGACCCCCTGGAGGCTGATCAGACGCACGGTCAGAGGAATTTCAGAATTAAGAGTACTTATGCAAGCGTCTCTGACACAGATAGTGGGCTCAGAGATGGAGTAATGGGTTAATCTAAGGTGAAGAGGACAGACCCTCTTCCTGGTGCTCTGAAGCCAGCAGTCTTAAATTAGGTCTTAACATTTCTCATGATAGAGGCGTCATTTAGTGTGAAGATTTAATTCAAGAATATTAATATTCAGTATAAATGTTATTTGTTTTTCATTGAAAACATTTTTGCACACCTATCCCTTTCAACGCTCACACACAGACCACTTACGTTACATGCTTTCACACATGCACATAAATATACAAATACAATAATACGTGTGTTGTTTTTTTTTAAAGCAAACATACATCAAACTAACAACTGTTAACCTGTTTTCTTTGTCCTCTTGTTGATGTCTGTACATGTTGTCGTCTAATTTATTTGCAGCTCTTTAGTTGCAGCTCTTATTAAAACCTTTATAATCATGATGATAAAACCGGTTTTAATGTACTTGTTCTTTATAAACATTAATCTAGATTATTATTGGTTCCTTAAATCAAACATGTTATTAATTGAAATGGACTTTTTCTGTATAATTTTCTTTTCACCATCTGTTGCAGTTCATTTTGTCCTGTGACAACACAAGCAGTTTTAATTCTTCTGTTTTTATGTCGTACGGTTGAAAACGAGACTCAAAGACACGCTTTCATTGTATCGTCCTCATTAGAAGATGATTTGTCTGATATGTGCTCCTGTCCGCTGCAGGTCGCCGTGACCATCGGCCTGCAGTACATCGACAGCTCCCTGTCCACGCTGGTTAACCCGGAGGACCCGGAGAGCGAGAGCGAGGGCTGGATCCTGGAGAAGACGGTGAAGGAGACGTTCACCGACATCATGGACAAAATGAAGTCCGTGGGTAAAGGCACCAAGGTGGAGGAGGGGGGCGAGGCAGCTGTCGCCACGGTGAGCTGAGCTGACCCCTCCTGCAAAAAACTGACATCACTCCCACCTGAAGAGGAGAGGAAGGGGACGTGTGAGATCACTACATTTTTCTCCCAACTCTTATTATGTAGACACACACACATGTTCAGCTGTGAATGGACTCCTTTCAAATGGACTCCTTGCATAATTAATTATAAGCTGTATATTCACACATAGCGAGAGATAATGTGTAGGCTGAGTTAAGTTATGGTTCGTCATTTTGGGTTTTTCCCCAACCAAACACATCCGTCTCGTCTTTGCTTCACAGCATACTTTTGAAGAGATTTACTGTTTTGGTTCCCAACACTCGGTGGGGTTTGGATCTTTAAAAAAAAAAAAAAAATTATAATTCAAGTAAATGTGATATGTATTGATAAATGTCAGATGCTTGGCAATCACAAGTAAAGATGTAATTTTTTTCCCGTTGTGTTGTTTGTCGGATAGTTTGGCGGGGATGGTGGTTGCTATGCAACCCCCCCTCTCATGGAAGATGATACTTACAGCACAAAAAACATTTTTATTTTTAATTTTGTTGACCGGTCTATAGTACTTTGGCTTGTAGCTGATACCGTTCATAGACAAAGCAAACAAATTAAACCCTCCACGCAGCTCTTTTTTATACTCCAGTCCACCTTTGTCCACAACGAGGACTGGATAAGCTCCTGAGATGTAGTCAAATTATGAATTGAATGACTCGACATGAATTATGCATGAATGTTGCGGCACATGGTCGGAGAGTGTGGCATGGGAACGTGGATTTGAGCCCTGTAGAGAGGCAGGGACAACTCCAAACCTGTGGAGGATGACTGAAATTGGCAGCTAAATCTTGGCTCCTGACCCCTGTACTGTAATCTCAGATCCTCTTTGGTGTTTCCCTTCAGTATCTGTATATTGACACACATGTATGTATATTCCAACACTGGGTTGCTGTCTTTGTACATAGTGTAGAAAGGATGACAGAGGTTCACTTTTTTTAAAGAAATATAATGTAATTAAGCAAAATATTTTATTTAAATCCATGTAAAGTTTTTTTTTTTTTTTCATTTTTTTTTGTCTTTGTGTGTCTTTGTAGAAGAAGAGATTATGCTGATTGTAAAAACGAATAAAGAATTTTAGAGATGTGATTTGATGGTGAAATAACTACGTTGTGTTGCCTCGACCTTGAGTCACACAGACCTGAGATCAGGAGGCGAGGCATGCTGTGTGTGCTGCAGGGTTCCTGATTAAGGCGACAGGATAAGGGCAATTATGGCATTACTGCTTTCACATGGACATCGGATGATTCTTCACATGTCCAATGTAAAGAGGGGGGGGGGGGGGGGGTTAACACCAGATGCTTTCACCAACAAAATAGAGCCTGCACATGTGTTTGTGAGTGAGTTTTCTTTGGGAAATGTATTGATTTCATGCACAACCTGATATTTGTGTGCCTTAAATCAGCTCTAAAATGAGCTGTGACCTCAGAAGGTCCAAGATACCAATCCTTTGATCCCTTCAGGCCATACATTGATCAATAGCAACCAGTGAGGTATTGTTTATCCATTCTCTTGAAACACAGTCCACCGTAAACATTGTAGATCTGAACTGAGATCCACATATGCTGCTAACTCCACACACAAGGAGCCATGATATTAAAGCCAGTGTGGTTTAGTCAGAGCAGATGGGGGGGGGGGGCTGTGGAGAGTCAGCAGGAAAAGTAAAGAGGCCAACTCTGCACGGTATTTTTGTTGGACCAAAGCACATAACCAGCGCTGAGTAGATAAGAGGCCTAATCGGCTTTAGATTAGCATGAGCCCCTCGGCCAGGTGAGCAGGTGATGTCCTGCTGCAGGACTGGCGTCACAGAGACACACAAAGACGAAGATAGAAGGACAAACAAGAGAAAGTAACGATCTGAGAGGGATTAGCAAGGCTGATTTTGAGACAAATGAGGATTCACTTGAGGGACTGCAGACAAAAGAAATGTACAAACGGTGGTGGAAGAAGTAATCAGATAAGTAATGTGAAAGTCCTGCATTAAAAATCTCACTTGATTAAAAGTACACAAGTATTTTCAAATCAAATATACTTAAACTGGTTGAGAAGGAGCTAACTGTGACTATTTTAAACATTTTATATCAGTAGAGTCAACAATGATAGATTCAACAATGCATGCAATGTTTTTTGTAAACATGTTTTAATTTAATGCAAAGTAAATAGTAGTATAGTTATCAAATAAATATAGTCTAGTGAAAAGTACAACATTTTATAGTTATAGTACTTGAGTAAATAGTATACCAAGAAAAACACTGAAATATATCCTTAGATATATTAAATATCAGCTCAAAGTGTTGAGCAGTGTTAATCAGTATTCAGATCATTTACTCTTAAACCCCCAGGCGTCTGGCTCAGGCCCCTGCTCGGAAATGGCATTCCCAAAATGAAGTAAGTGTATCTCTGCGACTACAAGGTCTATTTGTATAGCCTTAGCATTGTAAAGAAGGTAAAACATAAGAGATTGTTGCAGAGGTGTAAGTTTCAGTATATGTGTTATTGGGTCAGAGTAAATGAAGATGGAACAGAATAAATTAAAGATTTAATTCCCGTCTAACAACAGTTTACATTTTTAGAGTGAATATCCCTTCGGAGTGATGCAGTTGCTGCCCAAAACCTCTAACAAACCATATCAGAACATCTGAATCTTACCTGATGCTAATAAAGTGAAGGCAGAGAGTAGATGCACGTTAAGGCGGAATCTTCCATTTGAATAATAATTAATGAATCAGTTAATAATAATAAAATAATTCCATCTTGTCAGGCTTCAAGTCATGCGTTTGTGTCTGTCCAGCCAGCGATCAGACCAATCAGCGTCCTGTAAGGGGCCACTGGCAGCTATGGGTGTGGCTTATGTGTTGGTGTGATGCATAACTGTCAGTTTAAAACAACAATGGCGGCTCTTGAAGAGGTCAGCGTAACTGCAATAGCATCAGAACTAGAGAGTATTTCTTCATGAAGACTGGCATGAAAACGCTCTTCTCCCGACTGATTAACAGATGGTTCATCCAATGACCAGCCAAATGTTTTTTCGAAGTTGCTCAATTTGTTTCTCAGATGGTAACTGTAAAAGTAATTTAATTCCATTTACATGTAACCATAGGTATTACATCTAAATACAACTGTGATGTGAATGTTTTCCATTCAAAGGAAACCATAACCCATTGGTCTATTAGACCAGCCCAAGGCTGTATTGAAGGCCAATGCCTTATTGATGAGTGCAGTGCAATGATTCATCCACCAGATGGAGACATAGACCGTGATTTCACTTGCAAGGCTGAGGATAGGCTGTGCGATACTGGACAAACGCAGTCTGCAAATGCTCCTCCATGCCATGACGGCTGGAATCAGCTAGAAAATGATCTAGAAAGCGTTGATATCCCCTCGAATACAACTTTTGTCCACCAAAGGTAAGACACGATTTATGGTTACGTTTTTCACTTCTTCGGCTGGTAGTTCAAGTGCGAGTGATAAAACTTATACAGTCGGAATCTATGTTGTCTCAACTTTAATAACATATAGTTTGCACAGGTAGCATGAAGAAGCAAAAAATCGCTAGCTCCACTGGCGTGCATGCACCGTTAGCAGTTTTTGCTGTGTGCTCATTTAGTTGGTTGGTGTTGTAATTGTGTGTTGCTTTGATAAAAATGGTTATCATGGGCTTTTAGCCATCCAAATTTATTTGTTAATTATATTCTGTATTAATCATCAAAATGGATTATAAGGTATAATGTTTTCTTCTAATATGTAGTGGAGTAGATGTATAAAGTAGCAGAAAAATGGAAACACAGTTAGCTCAAACTCAAACTTGTACTTTATTAGTTACTTTTAAACAGCATCTAAACAGCGCTACTTTTGTTTGATACTAATCCACTTGAAGCTAAAACTAAACTACCTTTATAATACATATTTCACCAAATAAAACCTTGCTTTCGATGTTCTTTCCAAACAACTCATACTCACAAAAAAGACTGAAGCTTTCTCCCACAGAGCCAACATCTGTTCACTGTCCTGTAAGAGACACAAACAAGCTTCTGTATTCTGCTGCTCTCTGTTGGTGACTGCAGGTAATAAAGAGAGATACAAAAAACAATACTGACTAATCCGTTAAGGAGCTCTTACAGTGTTCTCACATGTAGTTAGGTTTCCAGCTGATTCACTTTCTTCTCTATGACAGTCTGATTTGTGATCTCACCAACACTCCCACTGCTTTGTTCCACTTTTAAACTAGTCTTTGGGTGTGATTTATTTTGACTCCAAATGTCTTCCAAACTTCCTCTTTGTTGTTGCCAAATTTGCTGGCATGCATGAACTCTTTGGGCTTCCCACTGTGAAAGGTTTCAGTTACATTAAAAGTCCACAAGAGGGTGTCTTTCCATCAATGATAATGTAACAGGAGTGGCCTCCCCACTGCTGGAAAACATTAAAGATCAAGAAAATGTTTAACTTTGGCTTGATTATAATTACAAAGAAACACATATGAGACAATTGAAATGTAGTCCCTTTATATGTAATGACGTGAACTCCTTAATAAGACCCATTTTTTTCTGGTACCGATGATGAGAGTTCCTCTCTTTCTGCAGCAGAACCCTCCAAAATATAGTCGAGAAAACAAAATGGATTCAGGCTGGATATAAATGTTATTTTCATCACCCTCTGATTTGTTGATTACTTTCATGATTAATCAAATAATTGTTTATCGTATAAAATGTAACAAATGAGTGAAAAAATGACCACCACATGTTTCCAAACATTTTCAGTTCTGCTCGAATCCAGAGTGACATCTTTTGATGGCTTCTTTTTCCTGACCAACACTCCAAAACCCCAAAATATTAAATTTAACAGAGCATTTTTGCTTGATAAGTTACTAAAAATTATTAATTGATTATCAAATTTGTTGCCGATTTATTTTCTGTCAAACGAATAATCCTTACAGCTCTAAAAATGACAATCACAAGTGTCCAGAACCCAATTTAGTAATAATATTCATATTACTTGTTTTGTCCTTCTAACAGTCCAAAACATACAAAAATATTTAATTCATAATGATTTAAAGCAAAAAAGTAGAGAAAAACAACAAATCCTCACACTTGAGAAGCTAAAACTAGAGTGTTTGGCAATCAATAAACGATCAGCTGTTTCAGAATAAAGAGATATAGATAGATTGCTTTGCATTCAGAATGTGACAAAAAAAATGAAGTGAGCAAATAAATATGCATAAAGGAGCTGCAGTGAGGGATACACGCAACATTTGAGGCATTTATTGATGATTTAAAGTGATATTGAACAGGTGTGACGTCTTCATGTTGACATGTGCTCTCATATATATTAAGTTGATCTTGTCCTTTCAGCCAAAAGGTCAGGGACGGTACTACGTATCACATCTCACTCCAAACTTCACTATGGGCTGAATAAATATGGCAGACAGAAAGAAAAGCAGAGGCAGAGGCAGAGAGAGAGAGAGAGAGGCCCGTGACTGGTAGATGTGTGGCCATGCTCAGAGGGGCATTGTTGGAGTTATGAGAGGACAATGCACTGCCCCCGCCCTGAATACTCGCCATACCAGCTGACCAGCCATTACCGACACTGCGGCTACCCTGTTACAATTCCTGCTGCTCTCTCCCTCTCTCTCACACACACACACACACGCACGCACGCACGCACACACACACACACACACACACACACACACACTGCATCCCACCCAGTCTCCATCGTAAGTTTAAACAAGGCAAAACCATACTTTGTGTATAACAGTGGACAGAGGAGAGAGACCAGGTGGGAGGCCAGCAGCGCCTGACAAAAGGCTTAAGTCAAGGCATGCATGGGCACACATGTTGTCTCGCCTCTGTGTGTGTGTGTGTGTGTGTGTGTGTGTGTGTGCACATGCGTGTGATTTACAGCAAGTTAAGTTTAGCCACTAGCACCTATCTGTTCCTTCAGCAATAACGTTTCTCTTCCAGCCACCCAGAGAGCACCAACTCACACATCGCACCTTCTTATTATTTCAGGATCCTTGACAAAAGTCCTGAAAGTGGAGGGTGTGAACAGGAGAGGGGGGAAGGGGGGGGGGGGGGTTCATGTTGTGTGAAAGGTGGACGTTAAGTCAAAGTGTCAGTACTACAGTGCAAAAATACTTCATCACAAGTACAAGCTATTTAATGCTGAAGTAAAAGTGCAGAAGTAGTATCAGCAAAGTGTACTTAGAGTGTCATAAGGGAAAGTTGATTTGTCAATTAACAAGTAAAAATTTGATTTCATACGAATAAAATATAAGATTAAACCAGTGGTTCCTGATCGCTTGTCATATTTTAGATATTTATGACACCAAACTTCTCAGAAGGTTGAATTTAAATTACTTTTGGAGGCCCAAATAGGTAAACATATGCAATACTTCAGAATAGAAGCAGAAATCAGGAATAAATCCACACAAAAATGAATATCTCTTCTTATTTCCTCTCCCACTAGTCATGTCACGACCCCTCAGATTTATCTAGTGACCCTTTGGAGGGGCCCGGCCCCTATTAAACTATCTAACTAAATAAAGTTAAACTAGCTCCACCTTGACCAGCTACAACAATTTGCTGCTTGTACATTGATGCATCAATATCAACAATCAAATAATGTAATATACAACCAAATCCAATATAATTTGTCAGTGGAACCAGTACTTTTACTTTTGATATAATTTGCTGATGATAATTTTTTACTTAAGCAGGATTTTGAATGCAGGACTTTAATTTCTAAATTGTTGTATTAGTACAACAATTTAGAAGTAGATGATAGTGATATATGCTTCTTTTGTATCAGAAGTAGAGGCTAAAGTACAAATACGTCAAAATTGATGTTCAGTACATGAGGGCACCTTGAAACACACACACACACACACACACACACACACACACACACTTCACAGGACAAGTGATGCACAGTAACAGGTGTGAATACATATGTGGAGCTGTTATATTGTTATACTGTGGGTGTAAGGTGTGTGTGTGTGTGTGTGTGTGCGCGTGCGTGCCTGTGCGCGCGCGAGAGAGAGGCGGGGGCTCTGTGGGGACGAGCACGAGCCTCCTCCCCTGAGATAGCGGCGACGCGCGGCGCGCTCTTGACATCCCACTCGTGCTGCTGCTGTACTGTAATCATATGATAGGGAGTCGATACCCGCTGCAGAATACCGACACACCGGGCGGACACTAGCGGAGCAGCCGGGGCCAGTTGATGGGCGATTGTTTATTTTAGTGCGTGGAGTCCTTTGAAGTGTCGCCTGAAGTCTCAAAAAAGAGCCAAACTCCACTCCAAAAAGGAACTTTTTCAAACTCTGGAGAGAGTTGGACACAGGGGGGGAAGAAAAGAAGGGCACGCAGACGAAACGTTAACCGAAGGACAGTCGGTTTAACCGGAGCTGATATTTGAATTTGATCAGCTAACAGAGAGGCCGGTGGAAACCCCTGGGGTCCTCGCATCGCTTGTGTCGGAGCGCGCGTGTGCGTGTGTGTGTGTGTTTTGGGTGAATTTCCCCACAAGTTTCTCCACTAACGTCAGCTAGGTCACTTTATTGTATAAGCTAAAGCCATGGTCGGAGAGACAGAGGTGAAGGAGAGACCCAAGTCCAACCCGGACTACCTGATGCAGCTGATGAACGACAGGAAGGTGATGAGCTCCCTGCCCAACTTCAGCGGCATCTTTACGCATCTGGAGCGGCTGCTGGATGAAGGTAACTCGGCTTCAGTTCGGGTGTTTTAACCCCCTTCACTGAAGACTCTAAGCACTTGTCAAACAAATGTCATCCCATCAAACACTGAGATATGCTAATGATGAATTATTAACCCACATTGTATTTATGTTGCTTTACACTGAATTCCTTCATAGAGATATGGTTGTAAATTAAAAATGAGCGCGTGAATTCGATGTTTGCTTTACCTCAAGTCACATTTTAATTTTGTTGAGAGCAGCACACGCACACACACACACACACACACACACACACACACACACACACACACACTCACACACACACACAGTTGGTGATGGGAACAAACAGACAGTTGTTAGTCCAGTGACCTAATGCGCAGGCTTATGTGAATGATGCAGCCCATCCCTGAGCAGGAACGAGAGCGTGTCACTGTGTAAAATATTTGATTTGAGGCTGCTTACATGCTGTCTGTACAACTTATCAATGCGCTTCACTTGTTGATATCTTACGATTCTTGCAAGCACCTCAGAAATAACGACAAAAGACTGGCATCAATGCAAAAAAAAAAAAAAAGTTTAAAAGTGGCATCTTATTTTTTAAGGGCACGCTTTTTTTTAAATGTCAGTTCCCACAAGTTCCCGAGGCCTGTTGTTGCTACTGTTGTTGCACATCAGGATCACCGAGGTCCTGACTTTGTGCTCTGTGACATGTCTCATGACGCAGCAAGGTTGTTCTTATACCAGACGACCTCTGCAGCCTGACACATGGGTCAACCTCACATCTCTGGTCGTGTTCATGTAGAAGACTGACAGCCGGGCACATTCATCCCTCACCCACAATAATGTGACACCCTCGGTTAGAATGAAAGGCATTGTACCGTGCTCGTTTTTCAGCCTGGCTGTATCTCCTGCCTGAGTAATGTGGACAAGGGCACAGCACCAACAAAGTTTGTGCCGGGTAATAAGAAAGCCTGCCAGTCACACATACTGTCAGGGTGCATGTTTGTGGCATATTCGGAAACACTCCGGTGGAGTCCGGTCTATATATAATCCAATGACAGGTTGAAGTGTTAAGATAAGGCCTGCTACAGCTTCCCCCCCCCCCCCCCTTTATCTCTATTTCCTTTGACTCTCTTGTTCTTCTTTCACTTCTCAATTTCCTCCCTGTTTTAGCTGAAGTGTGACAACAGCCCTGCTTGACTGTGCAGATTTGTGTGTGTGTTTTTTTAATTGTCACTTTTGGTCTGTAACAGGTCAGAGTGGGTTATTAGAGGATCATCATTGTCCCTGTAGCTGTGGCTTTAATTATAGGATCCTACTGTAGTTATTATGGTCAGACTTATCACTCTCAGAGCGGGGAGACATGCCTGTCAGCCTGCTTAGGTCAGATGATATTTGTGCCTCGAGGCAGTTATTCTGCAATGTGTGTGTGTGTGTGTGTGTGTGTGTGAGAGTTGAAGCCGGGTGTCAGTGTGTATGTGTTGCATATATTTGTGTAGTGCAGTAGTCAGTTATTATTGTGCTAGCGTGTCATTACAAAGGCATCAAAGGCTAACGTCGGCCATTGAGACAACACTAAACAAACAGACAGGCAGACAAACATAGTCTCACTTATGTTGGTGCTTCTGCACCAAACCTAAGACAAGAACTTGATCATTGAAGTCATTTTGCAGCTTTTCTGTGGTTTATATCATTCATTTGAAGATGTCAAAAACTCTGGAAAAACTTTATATGCCAGAAGATTTATCAGTTAATCAAGACAATGGTGTGTAAATAATCACTAGTTGCAGCCTTCTTGCTTTTTAAAAATTGAGATTTTTGTGGTTGTTGAATAACTGTCCTGTACTAGAACTTCATAAAAACTGGTGGGTAAAGTAGGTCACTTTGACCCCCACTGACATGTATGTTTTTCCTTGTGTTATTTACAGACTGAAATGGGGAGCAGTGTGCATGTGTGTGTGTGTGTGTGTGTGCGTGTGTGTGTGTGTGTGTGTGTTAAACCCAGTTGGAGAAAGAAATAGAAAGACAGGAATTGTCAGTAATAGAGGAGGCCTGATTGCAAACCAGTCACTACATTGTGGTGGAGAATGCTTGTGACCGTCTCCCTGCCTCCCTGTGTATCTGTCGTAATTGTCTGTCTGCTGTCACACTCAGAGCCTCCCGTAATCCTGGTGGCCGTGACTCATCGTTCTAAGAAATAGACGGTCTGAAGAAACGTGACACTTGCGGTTGCTCCTCGACACTTTCACGGACGCCTTCGGTTAAACTTTGCTCCCTCTTTCTGTCTCTGTCTCCCAGAAATCGGCAGGGTACGCAAGGACATGTACAACGACACAGTGAACGGTGGCATGTTCAACGGGCGGGACATGGAGGAGCTTCCCGAAGCTGTCGGCCCCGTCGCTCAGCTGCAGGAGAAGCTCTACGTGCCTGTCAAAGAGTACCCCGACGTGAGTGGACGAATCCATGACATTTGACCTTTCAGAAGAGTTTCTGTTTACTTTGTCCGGTGACTTTATCTCCTCGTGGTTACAGATGGGCGGCCAGAGGGTCAGTGAGGCTTTTAATCATAGCTTTATATTTTATCTACAAGCTGATTTCATTCTGAGATCATCTGTGCTCACACCCAATGATGTAATCTTGACTTGATCGATAATAAACCCTGGCCAGTGTTTCCAATAAGATAAAAATTCATAATTTACAGTAATATTTTAAGATTCAGATTTGTTTTTCTCAAAAAGGCAATATTCCCTTACTTCCTGATTACGTACGATTACACCATATATATTTCCACCACTCTTAAAAAGGTGGATGAAGTCTTTCCCCCAAATATAAAGACAAGTGCACGGCAGTCAGTGAAGGGACCAGTACGCCGCAGCTCCCGCCAAGTACAGTTAAGCACTTCGATATGAGTTGCGTTGATCCTCATGCTCACATGATTTTCCCCACGCATCAGCTCGCCAATCACCGAATACAATGACAGGCTGTCCTCACTCACATGACAGGAGGCTAACAGGAGACACACACACACACACTGGAAAACGGTTGAGATCAGGGTTAAATTTAGAGAGAGGTTCCTCTATCTGGATTTGCGGCCGTGTCTTGGAGAGACTCTTGGGTCGCCCCTGAGCCCGGAGCGAATATGTTGCAACTGAAGATAACATTAGGTCAAATAAAGTGGAGTTAGAAAAGTAGGAAGAGGCTGGACAAATGCTATGAGAGACAGAGGGACAGTGGCAAGGAAACAATCGCACACACACACACACACACACACACACACACACACACACACACACACACTCACTCACTCACAGAAGGGCAGCTGTCTAGTTAATCACTCAGTCTTTGTGACAGATAAGGTTAAGAGAACGGCGCTGTCCTGTTATGCCACCAGCACCAGCCAGCACCCGTATAATGAGCTATTTTTGTCTCTCTGAGTAACACATCACAGATGCACAAACACTGACACATGCAAATACACACACATTGTAAAAAAGACAGTCTGAGAATGTGATGTGAAATGTGTCTGTCTTCCTTCAGGTCTGTTTTTTTTTTACTGTCATGTGTGTTTTTTTTCTTGCTCTTTTGCGTAGTTTAACTTTGTAGGGAGGATCCTGGGCCCACGTGGACTGACGGCCAAACAACTGGAGGCAGAGACCGGATGCAAGATTATGGTGCGAGGAAAGGGCTCCATGAGAGACAAGAAGAAGGTAAAAAAACCACTCACAAAAACACACAAGACACACACCTTCATTGTCATTTGTATGGCTCTGTTACAGGCCGTGAGAATTATTTTGCATACGCACATCGCATTTATTTTCACGATTAGTTTTCAATTCTTGAGAGTTAAAAGAGAAGATTGATACAAACTTTTATGTTTGTATGCTAAATATGAAGCTGCAGCCATGAGTTAGCTTAGCTTAGCACAAACATGGAATCTGGGGGAAACAGCTAGCCCGGCTCTGTCCGAAATCCTCAAAGTCTTGTTTTAGGTTCAAGAAATAATCCCACACATAACCACGGTTAAAACACAACATGTCATTTTTACTCTGCAGTTTTTTGAACGAGCGAGATAACGAGTTAAATTTGTGCTCCTTAGAGGTGCCGGCAGGCGGATTTTGTTACCTTCAGACCGCGAAGACGAAAGCGAATAAGCATATTTCACAAAATGTCAAACTATTCCTTTAAATAGCTTTTTTTACTTTCAGCCATTGGTTTCCATTCGTGTTAGCATGGTCTAAAAAGTCGGGTTGCTCCGTCATGCTGAACATTATGTGTACTTTCAATACTGTCGAAGTTACTTTCTTGGAGTGCCTCACATTGATTAGGGCATGATGTTAGGATGCACATTTGAGAGGACTTTCAGCAGCTTTGGAATAAATAGATTCCAATAGCAGCCTGCAGACTGAGAACGATAAACATTAGAAATGTAAAATATTCATGATTTGCTTTGGAAAATGTTTAGTAGTGAAATGGAGTCTATGTGAGTGAAACATGCAAGACTCTTTTTTAGCTTGTGGTCCTTAATTTACCAAAAACACAGATCGATCTGTTTCTATTTCTCTCTCTCTCTCTCTGTCTCTCTCTCTCTCTCTCTGTCTCTCTCTTTCTCTTTCTCTCTCTCTGCCCGCCCGTCCATCCGCCCTCCTTCCTATCCAGCCTTTCATCCCTCCCAACATCAGTCTGTCTGTCTTTCTATCCATTTATCTGTGTATCCCTCCATCCATCCGACCAACCAACCCTTCTCTCGAAATTAGTTTTTGGTTGTCAGTTTTTCTGTCCTGGTGTTCGGTCCATCTGTTCCCCCTTCCTCTCCCCTGGTGTCTGCTGTTGGACGGAGTCGGCACAAGCTTTCCAAACGGCAGGTGGAGCAAGTCCAGCATTCCTCCCCTCCCCTTGTTTCTCTCTCTCCAGAACATTCCCAACCCCGCACGCCCCTCAGAGAAAGAGAGAGACGCACAGACACACACAGAGACAGAGAGGAAGGAAAACAGAGACACAGTGGGAGGCAACGGGGGAGAAGGGAGAAAGATGTTGACTTTTGGTGTTTTTCAAAATGATACATCTCACTTGACAAAACATCCACAGAGGATAGAATGTCCCAGCTCGCAATACTGAGTTAAAAGACTTCATGATTTCGGTTTTAACTTGGGCTACGACTAACAGTTATTTTCATTTGAATGAGTTTTGGGAAATATGTGTATTTGCCTTCCGCCGAGAGTTATATGAGAAGATTGACAACACTTTCATTCTCCCTTTCTGCAATCGGGAGGAGATGCTTAGCTTAGCTTAGCATAAAGACTGGAAACAAGGGGCGGAAACAGCTGGTCTGGCTACAAAGTCACTCCGCCTTGCCAAGAAATAGTTCCAGCGCATAAAGGTCAGGTTATGGTCAAACAGAGATAGTTCTTACGGTGTAATGTTCAAACACAATGGCAATTAAAGTGTTTATAGTTGTTGTGAACGACCTCACCCGAAGGTGGAGTGAAAGGCCTGCTGTCAATGAGATGTAATATCGTTAAAATATTATAAAAATTATAACTCTGCACAATTTCAGTCTGTCATGGAAAACATGCACAGCGTTGCACTTGTTTGTACACATAAAAAGTGACAGAAATAGTTGTATCATTTAAAAAAACAAGAGATTTGGAGCAAAGTTGAAACCCAGCTCACCTCAGCGGAGCCAATCACAGCATGCAGTGGGTGTGAATATCGAATTATCGGTATCGGAAAGTGATTGGACCCAGCTCCGCCTACTCTGACGTTGGAAAGGTGTGTGGGAGTGGGTTTCTGAAGCTATTCGACCATCTGACAAAGAGTTCTGTAAAAACATACTGGCTGCTGAACAACAGGTTTAAAAGATTAAACAAACAAAATATACTTTTCCAGTTAGTGAGCTTTAGAGATGCTAGTGGGTGGATTTTGTAACCATTGGACCAAACAAGGTGAGCTGTTTCCAGTCTTTATGCTCAGCTTCCTCATATTCATCGCATATAGATATGAGAGTGGTATTGATATTCTCCTTTAACTCTCAGCAACAAAACAAATAAACATATTTCCCAAAATGTCCAGTTTTTCCTTTGAGCACAGCGGTGCTTTGAGCTAATTGCTAACGTCAGCAATGCTAACATGCTGATGTTTAGCAGGTAATGTTTACATGGAAAGCATCTTACTTTAGCGAATTAGCATGCTAACATTTACTAATTATCACTGAACGCAGTAAAGCTAAGGCCATTTGTTTTGCAGCTATTTAATTATAAATGAAAGGAGTGGACAGATTTCAATTTTGATCCAGTTCAGGATCACCAGAGTTATGAAGACTCATCCTCTGAGAACCATGAACATGTAATCACAATTTCACAAAAATCCATTTAATAATTATCAGTTATTTCAGTCTGGACCGAAGTAGTAGAATGACCGACAGACAACGTCATTCCTAGAGCCCCTGGAGCCTAAAACTAATAACTAATGTATCACATAAGCCCAAACAGACTTTCTTCAAATTCTTTATTTGTCTGATGAACTTGCAAAAGAAACCAAATATTGCAATAATCTGATAAGCAGCGGATCCAGCTTGGGTTTGGTATTTTTTTCTAACTATTTGGAACACAAAGTTATCCAAACCTTCAGGAGACCAACAAACACAACCAGCAACAGGGCCGATAATCTGGTATTTTTACCTACGAAATGATTATTATTGTTATTTAATCAACATCAGAATATTTAATTGATTTATTTGACATGGACAATGCACCGATTATTTAGCTGTACCAGAGTTAGCTATACTGATTTACATCTTCAGGACAAGAAACAGATAAAAAAATCTCTGTTAAGAAAATGAACACTGTAAAAACACAAAGTATATTCACTACACAACAAGAACATTAAGGAAGCACAACAGCAACCACCAGATTTTACAACATTAAGACACATCATGTGTTTGTGTTCAGGCCTAAATTTAAAATAGTAAGGCTGCAGCACTGTCTTATTAATTTGGTACTGAGCTCCAACAGTTTATCAACGAATGGACCATATGTTCGGCACTAGTTTTGATTAAGTGTCAGCGAGAGATTAAAGAAGGGAATAGATAAGATTAAAAAAGTGAAGAATGGTGTGATTTGGGGGAGTGCCTTCAATGAAATGCAACTCCAAACTTGTGTAACCACCGAAGAGCAAAATGGTTATTTCGTGAGTTTGATAACGAACAAAGTTGCATTGCACGACCTTGAGCCTCGAGTGTGTGTGTGTGTGTGTGTGGTTTGAGGCCGATCCAAGAGCCGAGCCAAACAAGAAGAATAGTGAAATCCTGTTCCCTCTGTGCCGGTAATGGACCGAGCTTGTGTGGCGCATTCAAACAGAGCTTTTAAAATGTTTTTCAGGAGGAGATGAACCGAGGGAAGCCCAACTGGGAGCACCTCAGCGAGGACCTCCATGTCCTGATCACAGTGGAGGACACACACAACCGGGCCAAAATCAAACTCCAGCGGGCCATCAACGAGGTCAAGAAACTTCTCGTACCAGCTGTGAGTATCAGTCCGTAAACCCCTTTGGATGGCAAATATTATGGACTGGACTGACGGAAAAACTGCATGTGACTGGATGAGAGTTCACTGTGTTGGTATGCATGGAAGGGGGGAAGGGGATTGTCAGTCCAAAAAACTGTGTGTTTGTGTCTTTTCTGTGTTTTTTGTGTGTCTCTGTGTGTATGAGAGAGTATGTGTAAGGGGTTAGGGTAATTAGGGAACACGTATAAAGGGGTTTCCATGGTAACCCCGGGTTGTTTGAAAGGCTGAGGGAATGAATGGAGAGTCTGTTCACTTGTTCTCCCCACTCCATCACTCCTTTCACTCGTTCACAACTCACTTCATTCCCAACTACTGGCTACAGTATTCCTTTTTTCGCCCTGTTTTTTTTTGTTGTCCGCACAAGGGGACGTTTTGATTGCACTCCTCAACATTTCTCACATTCTCCAGCCCACCTACATCCCCCCCACAGACATACATACATGCATAAACGTGCACAAACATGACGACAAACAAGAAACACACTGCACATAGATACACACACACACACGCATGCTCTAAAACATCCTGTTGTACACACAAACACAAAAGCACATATTTTGAAAATCACAAGGCTCCTTCCTTTTTTTTTTTTCTGCATTATTTGCAACAATAGAAACAGAGTGAAAAAACCAGCAGGGGGATTTCTATTGCGGCAATCAGCCGTCACTTCCACTCTAATCACAGCACGGTATCGGCAAAACCTCGAAGTTTAAGGATGTAAGAAGTGTCTGCAGGCAATCAGGAGCTGAGCACCTGTTCACTTCCGTTTGTAAATCCGTGTGTGTGGAGGGTTAAGTTAATGATATGTGTTGGTTTAACCCAGCCGACCTGGCTTTTCGACTGTAAATCAGTCAAGCTTTTCACCGAGCTGTAACCGGAGCTAAGAAGTTAAATGTGTCCTGTATGGTGGAGCGGCTGTGTACAAAGTCTGGTCATCTTTGTTTCAGTCTATGTTATTATTAAGGGTGTGAATCTCTCCGTATCTCACAATTCCATTAAAAAATCAGTTCTTGATTCAGTACGTAGGAATGCTAATTTCAGGATGTGCGCCAGTCTTCTGTGCGCTAATGATGGCAGAGTTAAGTGTGTATAAGATTATGTTTTTATATTTGAAAAACTTATATCAACTGATTGCAATCATGTAAACACACACCTAAGACAAAAAAAAGCAACATTTATTCATGCTAAACTTGCACAAATAAAAATGTTTAATTTCTATCAATATCTTATTGACTTTAAGAATAACAATTCAAGTGCTACAAAAACTAAAAATGCTGCCTGTTACATAAATACAATTGGTAGGCCAACTTCAAAAGATAATTCTACTCAAAATAACACTTTAAAACTATTTTTTCAGGGATTTTCCAACAAATCACAGAATAATCCTTGACACAACTTTGACTTAGTGTGTAGAATAACTGTCCATCAGCAGCAATATCTGTGTTTGTTTATAGAAAAAAACAGTTTTGGAGGTTCCTAATCAATTCGAAATATAAGAATAAGGGAATCGTGATTTTTGCAAACAAAAAACAATTCCCTCTTGCATCATAATTAGTGTCCGCATACTGTAACATTTGCTGACTTTTTGACACCCACAAAAGTTAATTCATTCACTTGTCAAATGGCTGAATGGCAGTCCTGGCTAAGTGAGCTGATTGTGCTGCTCTGCTCTGTAGGCTGAGGGGGAGGACAACCTGAAGAAAATGCAGTTGATGGAGCTGGCCATTCTCAATGGGACCTACAGAGATGCCAATGTCAAGACGCGTAAGAATGACATCATAGTTAACTTGTGGAGGAGGGTTGGTGGGTGACAAAGGAGGGGTCTCGGTACAGGAGTCCACTGTATATATGAACAATGCCTCTGTTTCTCCTGTTAAATAGACTGTTTGTCCTCTCCTCTTCTCCCCTGTCTATTGTTTGTGTGTGCCTGCTTGTGGGTGTGCGCATACTTGCGTTATTGTATGTTCGTGTGCCACACAGTCACCGCCGGCTTCCCACTCGGGACACCTCAGGCGCCTCGGCTCATCACAGGCCCGACGCCCATCCTGCCTCCTTCCCTGCGCAACGCCGCCCCCGTCAACACGCAGACCATCATGCCTCTGATTCGTCAGATCCAGAGCTCCGCCCTCATGCAGGGAGGCAATCCGCACCAGACGCTGATGCAGCAAGGGCCTGAATCTGGAATCATCTACACGCCCTACGAGTATCCGTACACACTCACGCCCTCCATATTGGAATACCCGATTGACTCAACTGGAGTTTTAGGTATTTGGAGATCAAACGCTCATCAGTTCTTATAGAGTCAATGGATGTATTATGAGAACTGGATAGCGGACTCCAATGAAAGTTGCTCAGCAATCTCGTACGTCAAAAATCCTCTTTGTTAGTCTCTGTCGCCACTTGTCCCATAGACGACAACTTTAGACGACAAATTGCTTTTTGCGCCACAGTAAAGTTCTGCACTTGAACATGGCTTATACAGTACCTGCGTCTATGAGGGTGTGTTACGTTGACTCTTTTAACTCGTTAACTCTTCATTTATGCAGTCATGCTATCAATTGACTCGACTCAACGGTCTATATACACAAAAGTCTGGTAATGACAAATTTGAGAGCCGAATTTCATCCGTTGCTAACTGTTAGCTTGCGAGGCTAAAGCCACACGTTGGCTTTCCTTTTGTAAATGATCTCTTTTATACGAGAGTAGAGTAGTTAACACAGTCACATACAAGCTCACCCACAATTCATTTACACAATGAACATATTGCACTACAGGACAGGACCCTGAGAGACATGAAAGACGAGAAGTGTGCATTTGTGCTTGAAAAAAATGACGTGCATGCACGCGGAGGACAGTTACTGACTGAGAACAAAACTGGGAAATTACTTTGCAAGGTGCTTTTGAAATCTTAACAGCCAGAACGCGATCAAAAACCTGACGTTTTCTGTTATTGACGGGTTAGGAAGCAGAACCGCACCATTTCTTTTCTGCTGCATTACCACGGTTCTCTACTGGGACAAATTGGCATCCATATCCAGCTCTTGTAATACATCCGCAACATATATAGAAGAATGCTGAAGCTCATTGCTGGGCTAACAGTCCCTTCTTCCTGTGTTTTTGCAGGTATGGCTTTCCCAACCAAAGGCTAAGCGATAGCAACCCTTCCTAGCACACACACGGACTGGCTTGCAGAGACCCCCCACCCCCCAACACATACTTATCCCACAGAGCAAACACTCAAAGTTTGCTCATACTTTAGGATGACAGATTCCTCGACAGTCATTCTGTCGTCAAGTGTCCATTCCTGTTCATTTCCTCTTTGTATTAGCAGACTAGTGTTGTGGTGTGACAGCTATTTAACTTCTTTTAATAGTTCAGCTTCTGCTTGTAATTTTAACACATTTTAGTGAACCGATAGATATTTTAGTGCCGCTGTTTGTGATTTAATATATGTTAAAGCTTATTTTAATCACAGAGCTATAGAGTGACTTTGCTTACAGCCGATGTTGAATCTACTAGTGAAGCTTAGTGAGAAATTAGTGGTTTGGATTAATATTTTCTTTAGAGAACAGAAGACCACGAAACAACAAGAACTCTGTCTCTTAGAAGTGAGATGTTTTGATTTACTTTCACCCTCAGCCTTGAACACTTTGTAGATTCCTGGTTTCACTGATGTTGGTGCCATGAGCGGACTGTTTGATGTCTTTCTGATGAGTAACCTTCTGTGTTCTGTTTTGGCGATGTCAATGGCTGTTAGCAGGTGCCATGACCACTAAGGTACGACGCTACGACAAGAGAATCCATCCTTACCAAAGGGTAGTGACCCCAGACAGAGGTTAGTTAGCTCACCAGCCACTTTATGTGTATGTGTATGTGTGTGTGTTAGTGTGGGTGCATGCAGACCAATGGACCAATTTCAGTTTACATGCGTCTGTAATATGGCATGCCTTAAAAAACGGGGGGAAAAAGAAAGAACTGCATCAGACGAAAAAGGTCACACGCTGACACGGCATCGGTGTAAAATGTGAACGGTATTTGTTGCAGTGAAAGTGAAATAAGTGAGCAGATTGGGAGGAACCATGTGAATGGTGACAGCTGCAGCGGTTATCTTTGCTCGCCTGGTAGATAAACTGGACGGCTTGCAGGCCGGGACCCTCTCAATTAGAATGGATCGCTCCATTCATGTGACTCGATCCTTGTGACTCTGGATTTGAAGTCCTCTCTCTCAGAAACGTTTGTGGGTTTTTTTTCGTTGTTGTTTTTATCTCTTCACTACTACTTATGACCCGACAAATAACTGTGGGAAATTTTATTTATACCCAACTTCATTCCAGTAGATTTCCACAAATGTTTTTTTAAATTAAATCCTGTGTTGTGCCCAATGACTATATGACACTTAAAGTAACAGTGATTGTCTTTTCTCTGAAGGTCATTCAATTCAATATGATCTTTGGTCTTTACTACTAAAACACAGCGTGTGATAACTACTGAAGTCTGTGTTACAAGCTCTTTTGTATGAAATACTGTTGTTTTGGTCTTATCAGTCGCCCACTGGACTTTATCATTGGGGCTGTTTACATCTTTCATATATTTCCTAGCCAGAGGGGTGCTGTTACCATGTATTTAGCTGCAAAATAAATTTGTATATAGGGATTTTAAGGATTTAAGTGCTTATATGAAGCTTATGAAACAAGATCGCTTTGGAAATACTTGTAGTACTTTTTTTTTAGTTTTTTTTAGTTTGTAAAATTTTATTTTTGTTTTTACGATACGCTTTTTATAGATGAAGTGTCTCCATGTAAACTTCAAACTTTTGTTCAAGGTGTGTAGCTACTACTGTTTTAGTCACCGCGAAAGGTGGCAATGAAGGCAGTGTTTTGCTCTGTCTATTTAAGATGAGGTGACCTTCTGGATTCACAGGCCTCGTGACTGTTTTATGCAATAGAAATGGACTAGCTAGCTACATTATATGTGTGTGTGTGTGTGTGTGTGTATGTGTGTGTATTTGTGTGTGTGCGTGTGTGTGTGTGTGTGTGTGTGTGTGTGTGTGTGTGTGAGAGCGGTGGTGCTCTTGTTGTACACGATGGACAAAAAACACTAAAAGGCAATAAAGATGACTATTGAAAAAAAATCTCTAAAGGAAACCAAAGCCTCTAAATTCTTGTAGTTAGTCTGTCTATTGTTAAATTGTTTCTTAAGTCCCTCTAAAATCACCATCTCTTAACCTCTCATCGCTATCTCTTATGGTGCCTCTTTGCTTAGTCATTAGGTGCTCTTCTAATACTTCATAGCAAATAGATCAAACCATAATCAATAATCAGTTAATCACAACTGTTAATCACCCTGATTTTACGCCTGCTGCTAAACAATAGCTGGACTTGTCAGTAAGTGAAAGTATATCTGAGGCCCAGACACTGTTCTGTGGACATAAAGGTCACTCTCTCACCCACATGAAACCATGCTGTCTCTCTCTCTCTGTCCATGGTTTCACTGTCTGTCTGTGCTAGACGTAGTCCGGCTAGCACGAGTAGTATCACTATAGCAGCGGCCACTCGACAGGAGGGGCATCTCCTCAAGCTTAACCCTGTGAACACCTTCATGAGCGCACGAGAGCATCGCTAACCAGCCATTCCTCGTGTCACCACCCGGTGGTTGATGCGAGTCCTCCTGAATGGTTATGCAGGGCTCATGAAGGTGTTGTGCAGCTCGTAGGTAGCGCCCCTCCTGCTGTGTGACTGCAGTAGATCTGCCTTGTTGTCATCCTGACGCCACTAGCTGACACTAATCTCTCTTCTATCTTTTTTTCTTTTTATGTCCCCTTTTATGTGCCCTTTTTGTTTCCTTTCCACGTCTGTCCGTCTCTGTCTGTCTAACTCTAGCTGCCACGGCAACTAACCCATGACCCCTTGACCTTCTGACCTTTCCGCCCACTGATGACCCGCCCATCTCTGCCCGCTGGCGTGCTCATTGGCCCGCGGCCCCCGTCACTCCCCCAGCTCAGCCAACCAGACCAGCACATTGGGAACATCCCGGCTGCTTCTGTCTAACCAGCCAACCAGACGACAGCGATCATGGGAATAGACCTCAGGACCCCGCCCATCACCAAGTCCTAACCTAAACTTTACCAAACGTGCCTTCCACTCCAAAAGCCCAACGCCAGTCTGAGCATGTTTTACAACCAGTTCAAATCCCCAATCTGTAACAGCTGTTGCATAACCAGTAGACTTAACTGGGGCCAGGCCCGAAACTGGTGAAGAGCTCCTAAACCAATCCCTGGCTGTGCCCAGCTGTCAATCTGAGCTGCCCTACCCTCAGTCCATGTGATGCAATAATAATGACTCTATTAATAACATGGTAACTATACTGATGATAATGGTACTTATCCAGCGCAGAAACCCTCCATAAACACTAAAACTAAATGAGATATGTTGATATTTTGAAACATCTTTCCTCTTCGGGCACCTCTTACTTCACTTTTCTGCACACTCTTTCAGGGGAACGGCCATTTTCAGGGCCGACCATTTCAATTAATTTATACGTCAAAGTTGGTGTTGTGATAACGACATATTAACACATTTTCCCTTCACTTGTAACACCAACAAGTGGTTCCAGTGATGTGTTTAAAATGTCACTCGTGTTTCAAAGAGTGTGTTATTTTGTGAATCTTTTCCGAGATTTCCAATTCTCCCGTTCACACGTTGGAACAAGGAAAACAAAACAACACAAAAGTGAAAGCAACAGGTGCTCGGTAAGGAAACGAGAACAAACTGGAATCCAAAATGCCAAAGTATCTTTTGAGTTTTTCTTAATAAGTAAAGTTTCCCAATACGGAGTCAACATATGCAGTGTAAATGCCAAGTCTGTACGGTGCAGATCCGCACACACAGAAGGAAGGTTGCACTTCCTTTGTCTAAATCGAGAGGACTTACACAACGATGCCTTTGCCTTTTTCACACTACAGTATTGTATGAGCTTGAACAACAGTGCCTTTATTTATTTGAGAGCAATGGAACAATGTTGCACCTAAATCTTTTGCTACCACATCGTGGGTTTGTGCCCAGCATGAAATTATGTCCTTTTGGGTTTATGCAGATTAATTGTAATCGTCTGCATTTGATGTCTTTACACCCATAACTCTTCTCAATTCAGATTTTAGTGCCAAAAAAGTTGAAAAAAAGTGGGTCATTTGAATTGGAAGTGCTGCGCAGTATTGAAGCTACCGTGTCTGAAATGTATATGTGAGGTTCGGATACCTCGAGAGAACAGTGTTATATTTTATCAATTTTTTGTGTTTGATTGTTTTGTTGGAGATGAAGTCGTCCATATCTTTATTTCTGCCTGAGTATCCTCCTATTCAGAAGGTGTGGTACAGTTACACACACACACATACACACAAACCAGCTGATGCCTTGACTTAAGAAAAAAAGAAGAAAAAAATCATGGAGCCGTAACATCTGTAACAAGTTTATAATGTATTTTTATATTCTATTTTGTACCTGAAAATAACATTAAATGACCTTTTCAGATAAGAACATTATGCCTTATTACGGAGAGTAATTGGATGAATATAACTATCCTTGGTGTGTCATTAGTAATCAATGTCCTGATATACTGGAGTCTCTGATGTCCTCTGTATTAACTTGAGCCTTTGACATCAACATTGCTTGCCCTCTGTGCCTTTTGTATACTATGAGTGTGACAATTAACAGTGTAGTACAACATTAATATACTCTTCAGTGCCACGGTTACTAACTGTTACCACTTCTGTGATTATTAACCTCTTTAATGGTATCTGTCTCTGCTTTGGATTCCTTTTAAAAAAACAACAAATTACATGTTTGTCTAAAAGAAATGAAAAAGAAAGATATGTGTTGAACCATGAACGTTTAACTTTTCAAGTGAGCAGGAATAACTCTTTGTACACTATTAAACTCATAGTTGTAAAACTAACAAACTTTGTTGCTTTTTCTCTGTAGCACTTAATTATGCAAATCAGCTTCCTTTCTGCATACTAATCACCAAACACGCCTAAGATACCGAAGGGGGAAAGAAACCCAAGGAAAGGGCCAAAACATGTTTTTTTCCCACTTCTCCTTTTCTGCGCTCTGTCTCTTGTTCTCCATACTCCCGCTATTTAAGTAGACATTACACACAGTGATGTGTGTAATAAGAGAGAACAAAACAAACCCAACTCACCATGGTTTCTCAGAGGCATGCACATATATAACAGAAAAAAAGGAAGGGGGGGGATCAGGTTTGGAGGACTAGATGGCTTGGGAATTAAAGGGAAATTGATTGTGCAAGCTCGCCCTCAAACATCTGCAGAGTAAATATTACACAGTCTGTCCCTGAAGTCTGAAAACCCACCAATAATATCCTAGATTTGTCATGGTAACTGCGTTTGTGGTAATTAGGCTCCTTTTTGTCTCGGGGTGCAAAAACATTAAAATATAAAGAGGGGTGATTAAATGTGTGGGTAATTGAAGCCTTTGACACTTGAAGTTCCCTTTAAACTGCACATTTAAGGTTTCACACGCCAAAGAGAAGAAAAAAAAAGGAGAAAATCACACGGGGGTTTTCTGTGGTGAATGCAGCAGTGGGTGGCTCATTCGTCCTCTCCCTGCCCTTCCTGCCTTCATTGTGGAGTTGAGGGGTGATATTGAACTTCAGGCTTGGAGTTGAGCCGGGCTCTGTGGCCGCAACCCCAACACCCCCTGATCACAGAGAGAGAGAAAGGACATAATGTGACCGCTGCTGACAACCCTCTGGACAGGAAGAAGCAGAGCGGAGACAGCGAGAGGAAGTACAAGGGAGACTGTGTGGATATAAATGGGTGGGGGTGCATGGTGTGTGTTTGGATGGGTGTGTACTCTTCTCTGTGTTTTTCCTGTTTTCAGTCAAGTTCTGTGCTTTTTTTCTTCTTCTCCTAGTCTGGTATGAAACACTCTTCAAGCATCTGGTAATGTATTCTGCAGTCAGCTCTTCGCCATTGCCAACACTGGGGCCCAGAGCTCCCAGCGCTTACATTTAAAGTGTGTGTGTGTGTGTGTGTGTGGGTGAGATAAAGAGAGAAAGTGAGAGGAAAAGACAGGTTGATTTACATTACTATGTATGCACAACATTCTCCACATAATTAACAACTCCGGATTCTCTCCGCTTGGTAAATATTTGATGGCCGAGCGGCGGAATGATTTTAGCTGAATAACAAGAGTCCTATAAGCTGCTCAAAAGTTGTATTTCAAACCCCGTCTCTCCCTTGTCCTCTTCCCATGTAAATAAGGCCAACTCCCCCTAACTCCGCACACCCCTCTGAGGCCGTTTAAAGACCCAACACTGTCTCCTTGTCTCCTTGACAACCAGCATACACTGGGGTCCTGTCGTGGCCTCTTTGTCTTTTGTGTTTGGGAGCTCAGAGAGACAGAAAGAAAGAGAGAGAGGAAGAGAGAAAGAAAGAAAGAGAGAGAGAGAGAGAGAGAGAGAAAGAAAGAGAGAGGAAATGAAGGATGAAAAACGGACGGGAAAAAAAAGATAACAGAGATGACATCACAGCTATTTTATGCCACAACTGAAAATTTGGTTTGTATCCCGATGATGAGGATGATGATGATGATTAGCCAGAGGCACAAAATGGGTGGCAGCTTAGTGTGAGAGTGTGTGACCAGAGTTA